GGTTGGATTTGAAGGTTTAAGGTTCAAATATCACTTTAGGTCACGTGTTATAACATTTACCAATTTCCGTTCTTATCAAGAAACGATATTTTAGTCTGAAAGCGTCTTTACGAACGAGTGGGGGGGGGGGTAATTTTTTGGTTAATTCCCTAATTTAATTAGCATAAATAGAGAGAATATGTACTCCATCACGACCAAATTCCAGGCTGTTGGTTTAAACAAAGCTACCGATCTAGCCTGAAGGAGCTGCCTGAGTATGCATAGTTAGGTTCTATATACCTTAAACCTTACTAACCTCGCTGCTGAGAATTCATCATGGGGGGTTCAAAAATCCGCAGGCAGTTAGGCTAAATAGAAATGATGGAAGGTATACAATGGATCGCCATTAAACCCCACTTACCTCAGATTCAAGAATATTTGAGTTAGGTTTAAACCGTGCTTAATGTAATGCTGTCGTTATCGATTTGGGGGCAATAACATTTCTAGAATTAAGAGATATTTCTAGATTTAGGAGCAGTTACATTTCTAGATTTTGGAGCAGTTACATTTCTAGATTTAGGAGCAGTTACATTTCTAGATTTAGGAGCAGTTATATTTCTAGATTTAGGAGCAGTTACATTTCTAGATTTAGGAGCAGTTACATTTCTTACATTTCTAGAATTAAGTGATATCTTTAGAATTGGGAGAAGTAATATTTCTAGATTTAAGTGCTATTACTAGAATAGGGAGCAGTTACACTTCTAGAAATGGGTAATACCTCTAGATTTGGTAACAGTAATATTTCTAGATTTTAATAACATTTTTAGATTTGAGCAATATTTCTAGATTTGGGAGAAGTAACATTTCTAGATTTGGAAGAAGTAACATTTATGGATTTGAATACTACGTCTAGAATTGGGAGAAGTTAGGTTAGGTTAGAAGTTACATTTCTAGATTTTACATTTTCCCTTCAAATTTCAAGGACAAAATTCTTAAATGTTTTTAATGCCACCATTTGATTTTTGTACCTTTTGTGCCTTGTGTACCATAATTAAATGAAACTACTATATTTCTCTTCATACAGAGCTAGTTATTTATTTTCACTTCGTTTATCATAATAACAATAATATATGTATTATAATTAGTTATCATTGATCAATCGTTTTCCAATTATTTAGCCCCTCTTCCCCCCCCCTTCCATCCCCCTTATATCAATTAAACTTACTAACTACCAGTTTTCTGAAAATCGTTAATTTATTTTTCAAGGGGCTGTTTACGGTTTTTAAACTCAATCATATATTAAAACTTTAAATATTACAATGTCCGTTCTTATCCCTTTTACATAATACAATGAGTTCATCAAGGATTATACTCTAAGGATTGTACCTAGTTATCTCTATGTAAAGTATCTACTCTAAGGATTGTACCTACTTATCTCTATGTAAAGTATCTACTCTAAGGACTGTAGTTTGGTTGGGTTCTCCGACCCCCCGCATTGTCACATCCATACTACTGTTTCTGACAAGGTTTTAAATATTTAACATCTTGTTATCAACTCTTAAATTCTTAAATTCTTTAAACATTTCAAAATGAAAAAAGGATTTAAAAAAAATCAAATTTTCCTTTCATTAACTTTAATGCTTAATTTTGATACATACATGATGAAAGAATGCTTAAAGAGACTGTTCACCTTTTTTGCATGTCGGATTCACAATGGTACCCTTTTCAATCTCATCTGACCAACAGTGATAAATATATCGTTGTTTTTCTAGCTGAATTTGTTTGCCTTCCTTCTCTTCTGTTCCATAAATCCACAAGTACTTTTTTAAATAAAGAATCAAAATTGAAAAACATACAATTTGATAAAAAGAGATGGATAACTTCATCATTTCTCCTCAGACAATGATTTAAAGGGTCCCGGCATTGATAAAGGGACCGTTCATCTACCCGAATAGGTGAACGATCCCTTTAATCGAATATGTCACTCTATAAATGGAGGGTCAGTTAAAAGTACGTCTTCAGTCCTTTTAAAATTTTTTTTTCGTCAGGTTTTCTCAATGTTTTTCATGAAAGGTTTTTTTTTAGCTTTTTGTAAACCGGTTTTTTTGGACGATTACAAAAGATACTAGGGTAGGATTGAAAATTATTGTTAAAGTATTGATGATGTATTGAAAACTAACATCGTCATTCTTCGCTCATTTATTTATTTCAAACAATTAAACATCAGGTTATATTCCCACACTAACTACAATACAGGGTGACCCCACACTAGCTACAACACAGGGTGTCCCCACAATAACTACAATACAGGCTGCCCCACAATAACTACAATACAGGGTGTCCCAACACTAACTAACCTACAGGGTATCCCAACATTAACTACAATACAGGGTGTCCCAACACTAAATACAATCCAGGGTGTCCCCACAATAACTACATACAGGGTTTCCCAACACTAAATACAATACAGGGTGTCCCAACAATAACTACAATGCAGGGTGCCCCACAATAACTACAATACATGGTGTCCCAACACTAATTAACCTGCAGGGTATCCCAACATTAACTACAATACAGAGTGTCCGAACACTAAATACAATCCAGGGTGTCCCCACAATAACTACATACAGGGTGTCCCAACACTAAATACAATACAGGGTGTCCCAACAATAACTACAATACAGGATGTACTTACTTTATACATAATATATGATATGATAATTACCAGGCCCCACATCCATAATACCGAACCAGGGGTGGATGTCTCTTTGTAAAGATTGGGAACAGGGAGGGGGGNGGGGTTCGTGTTGTATCCCCATATAGCTTTCAATGCCAACCCCTAGCAAAGTTGCCAAAGATGCATTGTAGATTTCTATACATTTTCAAAACAATAGAACACTGATTGGAAGTAGACTTTTTTATTTTCTTTCAATACAATTCATTTATTAGAGTACTTTTCTTTTTAGAACACATTTTTCATCTATGTTTTAAAACAAAATAAAAACAAACATTTTTTTCGATATTCATATAGATTTGAGTTTACTATTTAAAATGGAGATATCCTCGTTTATATTTTAATGTTATTTTATTTGCATGTTTAAAGGGGGAGAAGGTTTATAGCCTCTCTATCCGATGGAATTAAATTACAATAAATTCAAATAGTCGGATGTTTAAATGGGGAGTTTAGTGTTGAATTAAACTAGAAAAAGGTAGAAATTATTCGAATATTATCGTCTAATACGCAGGCCACATTAAACTAATGTAAATTTTATAAAAGATCAAAATCTAGTTGGTTTTAAAGAATAACTACTAATTCAACGAAAAAGATTAAGATAAGAAAAAAAAAGTATGGAAATTCTTTTATTCAACCAAGTAATTGATAAGTTTTGGGCGTAAGATCTAAACTATATAGGAGTAACGATGTCGCAAAGCTGTACCAGTATTTTTACTTCTTTTCCTTGTATTAGATTGGTGTGAGGCGATAAAAAAATGTTTCCCCACTTCGACTCTTTAACTATGTGTATTTACTGTTTGAATAATGAAACTATGACAGTATGTCTAGTATGTATAGTGTTCTATCCCCCCCCCCCTCTTTGTTCGTTAATATTTATTGTGCAGAATAGTTTACCTTTAGTCCCCTGTACTATATGCTTCACTATTTAATAGGTATTGAATGTAGACAGTATTGAGCATATAATTAGTTATGCATTGTATGTGTAAAAGGTTTGGCGGATTTTTCCTGCCACTTCCCCCCATTCAACGGCGGGTCGGGCAGGGGGGAATACAAAATGGAGTCCTGGGGGCCATTAAGATACCCATTTTTGGATCATAATACAGTCAAATTACCATTGTCAAATCAAATGATGTCTTAGTTAAAATGAACCGGTACATACTGTGAGGAACACGTTTAAGGTCCCCCTTGAGGGTCCTAGAATGTCCCTGAAGGTCCCTATTGTGTCACCTACCGTGACAGGGCTTTGTCCCTAGGACAAAGCAAATTTTGTCTGGTCCTCAAAATATAAAATATTCAACAGGACGAGGATTTAAGGACGGAGAAAATGGTTAGTCCTATAAAAACACCGGTTGCGTCCTTTATAGTTTAAATAAATACAAACTTAAGTAAGACAAATTTGAAAAAATATGCATTTTCAACAATTTTTTTTTGGAAAGAAACGAAAAATCAAGCATCAGACAAAAGTGCATTACTCATTTTTTGATTTAGATAAAAAATACTTTTGTATTTCAAACATTTACTAAACTTATTTCTCTTTTAAAAAAAGAATTAAAAAGTAAGGTTACACTTTGAAGTTTTTAGAGACAATTGCAAGATGAAANGTACATGTGTAAAATGTAACATATCCTATCACGTACATGTGTAAAATGTAACGTATCCCATCACGTACATGTGTAAAATGTAACATATCCTATCACGTACATGTGTAAAATGTAACGTATCCCATCACGTACATGTGTAAAATGTAACATATCCTATCACGTACATGTGTAAAATGTAACGTATCCCATCACGTACATGTGTAAAATGTAACATATCCTATCACGTACATGTGTAAAATGTAACGTATCCCATCACGTACATGTGTAAAATGTAACATATCCCGTGAGCAATAAAACGTCTCAGAGACTTCATTTGCCAGTTTAACGATTCATGAATCACAATTACTATCTAGTGAACCCTCATATTCCAGGAACAAGGCAGTTAAACGCTGCAAAACTTGCAAAACGATAAATAAAATCCAAGATTTAATTTCATGGTCACGAATAATATTTTTCCGTTTATGTTTACCTCGCTCTAAAAATAGTATCTTAATGAACTTTTCAATCTAGCTATCTTTCGACCTTTTAAAGGATAAAAACTCAATTTTCTAAATCAATGCGAAACGCATTTTTGTTAAAACCCCATTGAATAACGCAGTTTTGCTCAAATCAATGATTGATGCATTTTTGTTCAAATCAATGATTAACGCATTTTTGTTTAAATCAACGATTGACACATTTTTGTTTAGATTTCTGTGAGGAGAAGGAGCGAGGGGAGGGGAAGGGGGGTGAGCACATCAAGCGCCCCATGAACGCCTTCATGGTCTGGTCTAGGATGAAGCGACGTCAAATCGCGCAAGAAAATCCAAAAATGCACAATTCCGAAATTTCGAAAAGACTCGGCTCGGAATGGAAACTGCTGACGGAAAGTGAAAAACGTCCATTTATCGACGAGGCTAAACGAATCCGGGCAAAACATATGACTGATCATCCAGACTACAAATACAGACCGCGTAGAAAACCTAAGAATTTGAAGGCTCCAGGGTATCCCTACACCATGCCCTATCCTTCTGTATCAATGGAGGCTCTAAGAGCAGGTTAGAGTTATATTTAATCATTCAATCATCAATTCAAATTAGATCGTTAAATCCATTATTTATCAATTCATTTTATTTCATTCATTCTATAACATTATTGAATATATTTTCTTGTGAACATTGAACACTTGTATTTATATTTATATTTATATTTATATTTATATTTATATGTTTATTTAGTATTTTTTTGTTTGTTTTTCTCGGTAACTTTTATTCATCCTTGACAAGTTCTTCGTTATCAATCTTGTTTAGATAAATACGACATTTTCTAAATTTTATTTTTATTTTCCTGTTAAAAATTTTATTTTTAGTCAATTTTGGAATATTTACTAGGTTATTAATTTCTTTAAATCAAATCCAATCCTTTATAAACCCTCCAATTAGATCTAAACAATTTATTTTTTTGCGGCTTTTGCCGTGCAGATCTTTCAAAGCTGGAAAGCTTTTATTTCTAAATTAAGGTTTATAGAAATATTTAAAACACACTGTCCCTTTAAGAATCTGACCGTATTGTTCTGTGTGTGTGTGTGGTATAGTTGTATACCGGAGTCAATAGCCAACATAACATCACAATGAGTCTCTTTCAATCTGTTTCACAGCATGTATTGGTTTCCCCAATAGCCAATTTAATAAACCCATCAAACAACTGGATCCGCTGAGGTTTCCAAATCTCAAAATTCAAAATCGATTTTCCCCCAGATTATGGTAAACATTTTTAACAAAAGAACTCTCGGCGGGGATTTAAAAAAATTCTTAATTATCTTTAAAATATTGAAATTTTTCCTAAAATTTGAATAATTAAAATTTTATTTATTTCAGTATTGACCCGGCTGGAGGAGGTTTTAAACCTGAGGATAGATATGACGTTCTCAAACCTGAATACAAGGTCGGAGAGCAACCCGGAGCTCTAGACTACAAGGAGCCACTCCGAACCGTCCCACACGAGCAACTCTTCCAACCTCAATCTTTCCACGTGAAAACCGAACCCGAGTACACAGACTACTCATCTGAAAGACAAGCATACGCAGATAGAGAACCGTACACAGATAGACTTGCGTACACAGATAGACTTGCGTACACGGATAAACAATTTCCAGATAGACAACCCTACTCTAGATCTGAGTATTGTGCAGACCCGGAGAACAGAATGTACTCGCATGAGAGTTTAGCTCGACTTTCCCACACTCAGGACCAGCTGGCAAAATACAATTCAGACAATTTATCCAGGTTGTCAGCTCAGGACGGGTTGTCCAGGCTCACCAACGGATTGTCAGGCGGTGAAGGGTTGGGTCGCTTAACCGGCAGCGAGAGTTTAAGCCGGTTAAGCCAGGCTCAGGACTCGCTAGCTAGGATCTCTAATATGACCAACTCTATTTCTCCTCCACAATCCTCGTCTCATTCTTCTCTTAGTCCAGGTAGGAATAGGTTTTCCCACTAACATTTTTTATATCTTTATCTCAAGAACAGTAGATTTAGTCAAATTTTGTTAAACCCCATGCATTGTTTTTTTAATGGCAAGAACTAAAAATGTACCTTTTTATTTTGCTAATTTTGAAAAAAAAATACGCGGAGAAATATTCAATATTTAATATTCATAATAACTAATTTTATTTATATTTTAAACTAAAATTTAATCATGTTTTGCTTTTCGTTCTACAATTTTTCTTACTATTATTCTATTAAAAAAAATAATTTGCCTTTTATTGTAAAATGATTCCTATGACAGTCTCTTTAAAGCCATTGATTACTCACCTGTAACTTTAATTTACTGATTTTTACAACTTTTAACATTTAATTAAAAATAAGAGTTTGGGTGGATTGAGCAGTCGTAACTCTGAACATTTAAATGTGAGATTTACGTATCAAACGAACATCTTATACGTATCTCATTATGTGTAAAATGTAACGTACATGTGTAAAATGCAACGTGTCCCATTACGTATATGTGTAAAATGTAACGTAATCCATAACGTACATGTGTAAAATGTAACGTATCCCATCACGTATATATGTAAAATGTAACGTATCCCATCACGTACATGTGTAAAATGTAACATATCCTATCACGTACATGTGTAAAATGTAACGTATCCCATCACGTACATGTGTAAAATGTAACATATCCCGTGAGCAATAAAACGTCTCAGAGACTTCATTTGCCAGTTTAACGATTCATGAATCACAATTACTATCTAGTGAACCCTCATATTCCAGGAACAAGGCAGTTAAACGCTGCAAAACTTGCAAAACGATAAATAAAATCCAAGATTTAATTTCATGGTCACGAATNATTAAATTAAATGTCAGTCATAATGTACCCTGATTTAACCCCCCGTGAGAAAATAGCCCAATATTACAATATTACAATACGTTTAAGCAGAGATACATCTACAGTGTGTATGTTTATATTTTAGTAGTTGTAACCCCTACATTTAGAAAGAAAAAATAGTGGCGTGCCCGATTCTCTAGGTACCCAAGCCTCTAATAGACTATAACAATAAAAAGGATATAGTCGTTTTTCTATCTTAAAACGTGTTGAATTCTGACATTTTCCCACAATTTAAGATAATCAATTTTCCGAGGGAAAAAGAAGGATATTCATCCTTGATTAGAGAAAGGTGTAAAGTGTACTATTGAGAATCAGACATATATACAGTGTTAATACAAATATAAAAATATAGGCTCACTTCAAATTGCGTCTCTAGTGTCTTCAAATAAAATAAATAATTGTAGCGTCCAAATACTTTTCCTTCACTATAGTAAAATGTTCAGCAAGATCAAATGAGGTCCCGGTCTCATTGGTTGGTGAATGCTTTCCATAACTGTGTAAATAGCTGTAGAACGTCTAAATTTTGGTTCTTAAATGTCCCACTCTTGTCCCTAAAATATCCTTTTCATGGTTTCCAAAATGTCCGGTTCGGAGGAGAGGTTCTAAAATCCCGGAACAAATCTTTAACAATAAAATACTTAAAAATCAATAGTTTTAGCAAAATTTGAAGCAATATTTATGAAACTATAGTGTACTTTATCATTCTTACTAACTTCATCGTGAATTTCATGATGAACGTGCTATAAAGTAGGCATCTTGCTATAATGTTAAATTAGCTGTACATAATAGCACGTGTGTTATAAAGATTTGATTGGTTCCCGGATTTTCTCCAAAAAATTTAGGATATTTTCAACGAGGTTATAGTGTATACTGTATAGAGTGATGATGTACGCTAATCCGTTACAAATTTTATAGGCTATAAACTATACCGAGAGCGTACTGCATATTTGATTATTATAAGTTGATTCTGGCCTAACCTATAGTATATCAATATTAGTAAACAGTTGTAAGTGTACAGTACAACTAACTGAGCACACAGGTAGAGAACTATCATCCCCCTGGATATTTCCACCAAGGACGCACTGCGTAAACCTGTATTGCATACTTTTGCCATTTAAAAAATAAACATTTGAATAAACATTATTGTTATACGTACAATGTACATAAAAGTGTACATAAAATGTACATATTACAACCTGTTAACTATGATGAAAAGTGTAACCAGCCTAGGGCGCTGAGAGGGATCTTTAGAATGTGAAATATCATTGAAAAGATTCTTGTTCTGATTACAGAGTATTGTATAGTAAAGAGGGGAGAGATGATATCTCAGCCCCCACTCCACAACCTTCTACCAAACCTTTCAAAGGATCAAGAATAAAATGAATTTAGAAAATCATTTAATAATTCAATTGAAGTATGGACAGCAGATAACGAAGATGACATTGTGGGAATTCGTTGGAGATCTTTTAGAATTGAAAAGACGGAACAAAATACTTAAATCGGGAAACCCTTTGGCCTAAAAGAAATGAAGGGGGAAAACGACTCCTTCTCCTTCCCCCGGCAACCTTATCTATACCCCTTGATAAAAGCTAAGTTGGTATAATAATAGGCTGCAACATGTAGATAAATGTTTAGATAAACTAAAGTCTGACTGTATCGTAATATATCATAACCTTACAAGTTTATGGCCTGGGCTTCTGGGCACAGGGTGGCCGAAGCAAGAAAAATAAATGTCTGTTGGTTCGTTTGTGTCCAATAAACATAAAACGGCTGAACCAATCTGGCCCAATTTTTTTGTGGTTTCAGGGAAAAGCCCGCGAAACTTTACATTGTTATTACAAGTACAAGATAAAATTGTTGTAAACTGCCGAAGAGATGTATTTCTAATTATTACACAAAATATCTTTCTACAAAAGGAACGCAATTTTTTTTTTATAAATGCCAGACTCGACTCGACTCGATATATTTAACACTCATTTTTGGAAAATCTCATAAGTACCGAAACTAAGTTGATTTGATACAATTTGAAGTCTTTATATGCAATATCTAAAAAATGTACATATACAATACACTTACATTACAAAACGTATACGTAAAATACTACAAAATTTAGCGCCATAAAACCTGTAGATTCGAAATTCAATGCTGCACACACACCAATTATAAATTCTTTTTGAAACGAGGTTTTTTTTTTTAAATATTTTCCAAAGGTCCCTGCCTGCCATGTCTTGTATGATAACCCCACAAAAAGACTCATTGTCCAACAATTTCACGCCACTTATCATATTTTACATATGAAATAATTCAAAAGAATGTCCTTTGGCCCCTGGTTGAAAGGATCGAGGGTAGTTGATAGGGTTGGTATAGGGGGTATACAAAGGTTCTATAGTTGATAGGGTTGGTATAGGGGGGTACATAAAGGTTCTATAGTTGGAACCATATATATTCAACATTTAGAATAAACTATTATCAACGTTTCCAAAAACACGCGTAATGTAAACACACTCCAAACATTTTCTCATTGTAAATATTTATGGAGCAAACAAATATTCAAGTTTAATCTTAAGAATAAAAACACGTAAAAAAAGAAAACTATGAAGAATAATGTCATTATTAAAAGTTTTGGTTTTGGTAAATAAAAACAAACTTTTCTTTAATCTGCAAGTTGAACGTTTTTTCCGAAAAGACATTGAGATGAATAAAAAAATTTGCCTTTCTAATACTTTGGCTTAAAATTAAAAATAGAGGAGCTAAGACGTCACAGTCCTACAAGTGATTTCGAAACAAAATTACCTTTTTCTTGTGTCTATTTGATATTGAAGTATAAAAGTATTAATACATGCCGTATTTTCAAATAAATTCTAAATACAACCGATCTGTATTTATTGAATATTTTATTTATAATATTTGACAGGTTTTTTTGTTCAAAAATTGATACATTTACACAAGCCATTGTTGACGGAGAGAAAACATAAAGATTTGGCGGTTTTTCTCTAGACTTATTTAGTATACAGTAGAATCCTAGTGTTTGATCAGTACCCTATTCACATGCAAATATACAGATTTAACTCCACGCAAACCAAACTGATATATATTTATTTAAATAAATGTATATATATAAAAGGCTTACATTGCGCCGCTCTTGTTTTTGGTGATTTGTACAGCGTTTTCGTTGGTGATTTAGCTGCAATCCTTTCCTCTTCGTACATTTGAAGTAATAAGATTAAGAACAAACAATAATTTCGCAGATTTTCCGATTTTTATTCGTGAGTTTCCAACATTTGAGAAATCACAAAGTTTGGAAGTAAGGTTTTACTTATATACACTTTTTTCTGTTTATCCTCCCCCCTACCCCCTCTCTTCCTTCTTAGAAATTAAGATTTAAAGGTTTTTATTTTTGTTCGGTCAACAATAGCTAGCGATACCAACAAGTTTTAAGTTTGTGCCAAAAAAAGGTAAAAACTTTTTTTTTAATTCATTGGATTGTGTAAAATGGGTTCGAAAGTAAAGGTGAACTGACATTTGAATCAAGGTGAAAGAAAAATATTTATTAAAACCTACGAGTTTATTGATTTAAACAATAAAACAAAATGGAAAAAAATGTAAACAGACAAATTCAATGGTTAGATGGTAGACAGAGATATCTTTTAATATAATATCATACAAACAATGTGCTACCCCCAATCCTCTTCAAATCCCCTTTCATAGACAAAACGTATAACAGATGTAAGAGTACAACTTTCTTTCAAAAAATTAAAATTTGAATTTTCACTTTTGTTATCAAACAATTGCCAGTGTTCATTGATTTTCTGAGTATTTTTTCTATTTTTTACGCTGCGCAGTCTTTGATCTATTTTGTCTATAGTTATCCCACTACTAGCCCACAACAATAAGCTTCTGCTTATTGGACAGAAAGTAAGTTGATTAAAAATATTAGGATATCTTTTATATACTCAAATATATCAGGGATATATCTTTTATATACACAAATATATCAGGGATATATCTTTTATATACTCAAATATATAAGGGATATATCTTTTATATACTCAAATATATCAGGGATATATCTTTTATATACACAAATATATCAGGAATATATCTTTTATATGGCTCCAGTACAAAAGGTAGAATTACAAAAGGTAGAATTACAAAAGGTAGAATTACAAAAGGTAGAATTACAAAAGGTAGAATTACAAAAGGTAGAATGACAAAAGGTAGAACGATCATAAGGTAGAACGACGAAAGGTAGAACGATCAAAAGGTAGAACAAACAAAAGGTAGAACGTTCAAAAGGTAGAATTTTCCAAATAAATTTTTTTTAAATCTCAAAAAAGTCAAAAAATAATGTTTCTTATTTATTAGGACTAATTTTTATTTTACAAATTTACATGATTTTAATCCATGCCAATAATTGTGGCAAGCTGTTTCATATAGTCTGGTGCAGGGATATTATTATACATACATGTTTTTAATCCTAGTTTTTGTTTGCGAGCGTTCTCAGTGCTGTTTGCACCACTGGCTGAACTCTGTTCCATTCTTAATTTTCTCAAAATTATATTCATATTTCTGGTCGTCAATCAATGTTCTTTTCTTCTTTTGCTTCACCCCATAGTTGACCAACCTCTCCATGCTGAATTCAACCGAGAAATGCAGTTTTGTGAATTTAAAAAAAAAAATCGCGGATTTTCTTGTAAAAACTAGAAAATTTTCTTCCTTCTCAAAAATAAAAAAAATTCTACCTTTTAAACGTTCTACCTTTTGTAATTCTACCTTTGGAACGTTCTACCTTTTGTTTATTCTACCTTTTGATCAATCTACCTTTTGATTGTTCTACCTTTTGTCATTCTACCTTTTGTCATTCTACCTTCTGTAATTCTACCTTTTGTACGTGAGCCTTTTATATATTCAAATATATCGGGATATATCTTTTATATACTCAAATATATCAGGGATATATCTTTATACACTAATATATCAAGAATATCTTTTATATATCTCTAATATATCTTATATATAGTTAAATATATTACGGATATATCATTTATATGTCTTTTATTATCATATATATGGGATTATATCTTTCACATATCTTTAACTGTGCACTCATATTATATATTCCTACATCTCGGGGTAGCGTAAATATGAAATAGCAACGTTTGAATCTCCGTCCCCTCCCATAATACATCTGTACATACACCACTACACAGTTATTATAGGTATTAAAGAATATATGTAGTAATCTGTAATGATTGAATACACAAACAAAATAAATAAATAATGCCGAAATGTAATTCTCATTTTAAACCGTGTACTATACCACCCACCTAGTAAACAAAGATAATTCTTAAATCCTGCATTGCGCCGGCCCTCAGAGATACATTCGCCCGTGCACCCAACAACACAAATAATTTGACATATCAAAACACAAAATATGTGACACAGAGATAAATGTTTAAAATTTTTTATTCGGTCGAATCGGACGATTTGGACGAACAGTTGAATTTAAGAAGTTTAAAGCAATTACCGCTAATTTCCCGCTCATTGTCTGTTCTCCGTTCTAGCGTGAATACCGCTGAAAAATCACATATGTAATCTCGGGACCACACCAACCGGAAAATATGAAAATTGTCCCAGCTGCACTTGCACCTCCCCCCCCCCCCTCCTTCAGGTTTAATATTCTCAAAAACATCTCATTTATCATTAATGCGCGTTACGTGACATGCAAAAAAGGTTTAAAAATATCACAAAATAAACATGCATAATTTCATGTGTACAAACATTTTTTAGCCCACCTTGCAGAAAAGATTAATTAAACTATGTACAATGTACATTGTACATGTATTATATATATTCCTAATTGTACATAAACTGCGTACAAAGTACATACTTAAACTAAATAAATTTTTACAGTTAAGTACAGAAACTGTGAAAGCTTGTTATGTAATTAAATAGAATGATTGTTAAAAAAAGAAAATCAAGATTGAATAGATTGACAGATTGAGGGTGGGGGAGGGTATATAGTGGGGCTAGGATGGGACAGATTGAGGGTGGGGGAGGGTATAAAGTGGGGCTAGGATGGGACAGACCATAAATGGAACTACAAAGACTTCCTAAAAATTAAATAAAAAATGTAAAAAAATAGATATTTGGAAAAACCAAAATTTTAATTCACTGAAATAAATTTGAATTGAAATACATAAATTAATGTTTTCAAAAAGTTTTGAAAGTATAGAAGTCGTTTAATTTAAAGTTAAGTATAGATTTAAATAAAACTCATGTGTTTTCCTAATTTAGATGTAAGTATAGATTTAAATAAAAAGTTGTCATTCCAAAATTTTTTTTTAAAAAGGACCAATTTTAGGGTTTATTCGAAGGTTAGAAGTTCAAAAGGAATCTTTTAATCTTTAAGAATCTTTGACTTTAAAAATGTAAGCTTGGTTGGATTTATATACATAGCTTTAATTACCAGTACTCACGATTTTGCCAGTCACACACCCAGAGAACCCTCGATTTTTCTTCTTTCAAACTCGAGAGTCAAAATATATAAGTAAATATATTTTTATTTAACGGTCGAGACTCTATAGCGCAGGATATGAATCACTGTCATTGATCCCCAGCTCAATTATATTAAAAATACTTCGCAAAAGTTTTTATATTTTATAAACAAATATATTTGAGATATTATGGAGTGTTTTCACTTTGAATGGTGTTGTGTCTAACGAATATTAATCTGGAAAAGGGGAAACATTGTTGATAAACCCTTTTAATAAAAGAGTTGATAAAATGCGGGTGATGCGATGTAATGAATTAATGCCGCGTTCGTGATTCGAGAAAATTCCGCGCCATTTATCTATTCAACAGGAAAATTGGTAGATTTGTCAGACAAGGGGGGGGGGGAAGAGATCCATGATCCTTTTGATATTAAATATTTCATGATTTATATCGTCTCATCCCTCCATTCAAATCCACTCAAACATGGTTTAATGTAAATTAATTGTACACCACACGTTCCCCCGCCTTCAGTACCGTCGACATTTGTCAATTTATATTTTGATATTTGTCAGCACAGGAGATACAAACTATTATTTAATATTAGACTAATCTCTTTCCTAATGTAATAAATACTAAAAATAAAATACCTATTTATCATTCTATTTGTAACTTGTCAGATATATTTAATGTACAGTTGGAGATTACAAATATACAGTTCTTGTGTTCAATGTTCCTAATGTTATGATTTGATGATAAAATGTTGCGTTTTTATTCAGGTCAAATGGGCGGATACTACAATCCATATGCCTCGGGATTCTCAGCAGCTCATATGGCAGCAGCAGCGGCCGCAGCCGCTGCCCAGCAATCAGGACAGGTACTTGATTCATCGATTGATGATCTTAAAACATATTCTTAATTGATTTGTTGGTGATCATAAACATATTCTTGATTCATTAACCATAGACCATAAACATATTCTTGTAAATATAAGTACATATATTCTTAATTATTAATTATTGATCATAAACTTATCTTCATTCATTGATTATTGATCATAAGCATATATTTCATTCATTGATTATTGATCATAAATATGTTCTTCGTTCATTGGTTGTTGATCATAAACATATTCTTCATTCATTAATCATTGACCAATACATATTCTTGATTCATTGGCTTGTAATTATAAGTACATAAATTCTTGATTATTAATTTTTGAACATAAACTTATCTTCATTAATTGATTATTGATCATAAACATATTCTTGTTTCATTGGTTTGTCTTTAAAAGTGTATTATTGATTATTGATCATTTAATCATATTCTTGATACATTGGTTATTGATCATGAACATATTCTTCATTCATTGATTATTGATCATAAGCATATTCTATGGAATGGTTTGAATTGTAAAGTTCCCATGAATGTTAAGCAGTTATATATTCATGTATTCTTAACATATGTAAATATTCTCAATACAACAAACTCTCTGTCAAAACAGATTTTTCTCATTTCTTCTAATCAATCTAAACTTAACATGTTCTTAAAGCAGTCTTACATAAGGGATATTCTTATAATTTATTCTATAATAAGGGATATTATGGTTTTCTTATAGTTTTATTCTTAAATATGGGATAATCCTATAGCTTTTGTGTCAAATAAAGGATATTGTTATAGTTTTAGCCCTAAATAAGGGATATTCTTACAGTTTTAGTCTTAAATCAGGGATATTTATATATTTTTAGTCTTAAATAAGGGATGATCTTATAGTTTTAGTCTTAAATAAGGGATGTTATTATAGTTTTAGTCTTAAATAAGGGATGTTCTTATAGTTTTAGTCTTAAATAAGGGATACTTAATAGTTTTAGTCTTAAATAAGGGATACTTTTATATGTTGTCATAAAAAAGGAATATTGTTCAAGTTTTGTTTAGTCTCGGTTTTATTTAATGCCCTGTAAATCCTTTCCTAATAAAATGTATAAGTAAATAAACCGGGCGTATATATATATACTCGTTTTAAGAATTCTAATTGGCTAAAGGTTAGTAAAGATAGGCAGGGGTAAGGGGAGGGGTAAATGCAGAAGGGGGGGGGGACTGGGCCGCGTTTAGGATAATTTAAGTTTTTACACAAGCCCTGGCCGCAGAATAAACCCATACAACTGTCTCATAAATTATGATAAAAACCCAACAAATTTTACATAAAAATACAAAGTATGAATAAGGGCGGTGTATGTCAGTATACACGTACTACAATAATATAATGATTAATGATGCTAAGCCGTGATATTACTTACATGTTCTACTTTAATATGATTAGAAACATGTCTCATTATATTCCCTGAAAGCTTGTTATGTAATTAAATAGAATGATTGTTAATGGGGCGGATAAACTGAACATAAAGAAGTTTAGATAAATCAATGCATTCATCCAAAATAGCCTAGACATATTCTTAGATAATTAGTTAGGGGACCCCACTTAGGGGGGGGGATAATGTAATTAAATAATATAATATAGATAATAAGGGTATTATGTCATTTCCCCAGCGCAACTTCCCCAACACAACTTCCCCAGTCACTAATTTCCCCAACAGCAACTTCCCTAACAGCTAATTTCCCCACACTAACTTCCCTGCAGTCACTAATTTCCCCAACACCAATTTCCCCATGCAGTAAAATTCTTAATTAACAAAGTTCCAGAAAGATTTAGATTTGTCCCTTGACATTGATTGTAGGTTGTACTCATACTTATTGGGATCCACCAGAACATTTCTCTTCTTCGAGAAATGTCGACTCTAATCCAACTGATTTTTTCACATTTAAAAAGTTGCGAATTTTTATTTTAAAATTGCGCATTTGTTCATTGGAATAATGTTAAAAACGGAAATATTTGATATTTCACTGCATGGGGAAATAGTTGTCGGGAAAGTTGCTGTTTTACTGCATGGGGAAATAGTTGTCGGGAAAGTTGCTGTTTTACTGCATGGGGAAATAGTTGTCGGGAAAGTTGCTGTTGGGGAAATTATACTGCATGGGGAAATAGTTGTCGGGAAAGTTGCTGTTTTACTGCATGGGGAAATAGTTGTCGGGAAAGTTGCTGTTGGGGAAATTATTAATTGGGGAAATTGTTGTTGGGGAAATTGGTTGTTGGGGAAATTGCTGTTGGAGAAGATGTCTCGGGGAAGTTGTGACTGGGGAAGTTGCGCTGGGGATCTAACCTAACACCATAATAAGTGGTTTATATATATTGTTTTCATTTTAGATGAGTTCTGCGATGGATGCCCTGAAATACAGCAACTATATGTCTGCAGCTGCCGGTCACAGCATGGCCAGTCTCTACTCATTCTCCGGTCAGGACGGGACCGGTCAATCCACCGGTCAGGACCAGTCTAAGACCGGATACTCTGCTGATGCTCTGAGCCGGAGTTATCTTGAACAGCAGAAGAGCTATTACGAGAGCGCCGGATTAAAGGGATACAGCGACAGGTCAATCGGTCAACCAACCTTCGACGCTAAATCCTACACCCCCGACTCTATGTCAGAGCGTCAGTCGACGGAATCACCAGAAATTAAGAAGCCAACACCAGAATCCCTACAGCAGCACCAGGCGACTTTACAGGCGTATTACCCCGGCGGATCCACGGCCCAGACCGGACTTCCGCCTCTTCTCCCTATGGCGGCGCAGCTGAGTCAATACAGCGGCGGTACCGGGTACCCACAAACTAGCCCGGGAACCGATTACTCCCGCCGACCGCTATCCGTTCTTTTCTAAACCCGCCAATATAATTTATAAAGCAGTGTTAAGTTTTAGAGAACACACTTTTAAAAACTTTTGTCTAGTGAAATTCAAATTCAGGATTTTTAAACCTGTGAATCCCAAAAAGTGTATGTAGTGCCAATTTACAGGGTTTTTAAGGATCTCCAACCCTCCCCTCCCCGCATCCTCACGCCGCCACTGAAACATTGCCAAATTTTTGTGCACAAAATTTTAGTGATTAGTTGTTCTGTTACCTGTTAATATGAAACATATAGACGATATATGTTATAAATAAGAAGAATAAGACGATTCCGATTTAAAGAGACTGTACACTATTCCTTTATACAGTGACAAGTCAGATTGACAACAGTAGACTTTAAACCTTGGTCTGATCATTCAAGTATGAAGTAGATATCATTATTTCTCTAGTTAAAACATTGATTTTTTTCAATTGTGTTTTTTCTGTAAAGAGAATCAACGGAAATCTAAAGTTTTTAGATCCAGGACTACCGACATGTTAATCAGATAGAGGTTTGAAAGGCACCTCTGTGAATCGGACATGCCACAATGAAGGGTCACTTCAAATGAAGTCTGTGGACCCTTTAACAATAAATTTCGATGTTAATCAGGGTTTAAATATCCTTTTCTCTCGAAACTGGTCACTGGAGTCTCAGCTCCATCTTTCATATATTTTGTCTATGTATGTGAGCATAATTTTTGATGTGATAAATCTTGATATTTATGTATCCACGGTTCTTAAAGTGTAAAAAATAATGAATATTTATTTTTAAAAATGCGAAAAATATTGATTGAAAAAGGATCCATTTCTCGTATAAAAGATGAACAAAGCCATAGAAAATATTCAAGATATGTAAACTTGACTTTAGTCTAAAATATGTGTTGTTTCAAAAATCTGATCAATTCAATGTGTCCTGTTTTAAATGTTTTAAATTAATTCTTTTTAAAAAAAAAACGTTCAGAAAAATTCTCATTCATATAAATTTTCTTCTTAAGTAAAGATTTGTAGATTATAGGTGAAATATTGAATAAATATCATAATATTTTCTAAATTTATTTAAATTTTTTTTATGGTGGTTAAAAACGCATGGGGTAACCCTTGAAGTAATTTCAATTATCTCAAGGATGGTTTTCATTTTCTTTTTTTCTTTTCATCTTGATTCTATCTTCTCCTTTACATTACTTCTCTAATTCTCTTCCTTCTTTCTCATTTCCTTTTTATCTTTTCATCTTGATTCTATCTTATTCTTTACATTACTTCTCTTATTCTCTTCTTCTTCCTCATTTCCTTTTTTTTCTTTTCATCTTGATTCTATCTTCTTCTTTACATTACTTCATTCATAAACCTCATTTCTTATTCTTCACTAGCCTCCCTCTTATCCTTCATAAACGTACCTCCCTCTTTCCTTCATAAACGTACCTCCCTCTTATCCGTCATAAACGTAACTCCCCCTTATCCTTTAAAACCTCCCCCATATCTTTTATAAACCATCCATTTATCCTTCAAAAACCTCCCTTTTATCCTTCATAAACCTCAATCTTTTCCTTCATAATCTTTCCTCTTATCCTTCATAAACCTCCCGCTTATCCGTCATAAACCTTATTCTTATCCTTCATAACTCTCCCTCTAATCCTTCATAAACCTCCGTCTTATCCTTCATAAACCTCCCTCTTAGTCTTATCCTTCATAAACCTTCCCCTTATTCTTTATAAACCTCCCCCTTATCCTTCATAACTCTCCCACTTATTTTTCATAACTCTACCTCTTATCCTTCATAAACCTCCCTCTAATCCTTCATAAACCTCCCTCTTATCCTTCATAAACCTCCCTCTTATTCTTCATAATTCTCCCTCTTATTCTTCATAAACCTCCCTCTTATCCTTCATAAACCTCCTTCTTATTCTTCATAAACCTCCCTCTTATTCTTCATAAACCTCCCCCTTGTTCTTAATGTTTTCTCTATCTTTTAACTTTTACATTTCTGACTTGAATCTTGATTTAATTTAAACATATCGAGGTTTGGTGAAGTTTCTGCTGTATTATATCCACGCGAAACTAACTAGATTTTAGTTTGTTCAGGTTGTATTGTTAAAAAGACCTTTCAACCAAAAGTCATGAAAAAACAATTGCGTAATATACCAAATAAATATTAATATTTAAGACGTATAAATTAGAAAATACTAACATATCATACTATAGACGTCATGTTATGGGACCCTCCATTCTTAGATACTCTATATATATTCTATATAGGATCCTGTATGCCATTAGCTGAGTCCATTAGCGTCTGATCCGATCAGGGTTCAGTCATTGTTTGGTGTCTATTCTGAACCAATAGAAATTGCATGGCGGTAACTCTATCATTCTATCTAGCTCATTATCCAATTATAGATAAATCCTTATATCGGCGCTATAACAGTAAATGGAAATATTTGCTTCTACTGCAACTATAGTGTAGAGTGGTTTACCCCAATCACAACGGCAACCTTAAAATCGTTTTCTAACTATTCAAGAATAACTGAGATATTCATGTTTTTCTTTGAAAATTGATTATTTTCAATTCTGGTTTCTCCATAAAAGTGATTTGAGGAATGATGCTTCAAGAAGCAATAGATAACGACGATATTTTCCACATTATCGTTAGACTATGTCTAGAGGAAAAGTCACTTAAAAGTACTCTTACAGTCCCTTTAAAATTGTTGAAAACCCTAAAACTAAACTATGTATTTTTTTATCTGCAGGGGTTGTTATTACTTATTGTTTATCTGAGTGTCAGCTCCAGTATAGTGAGATAGTAAGGAATATATACTGTTCTACAAGATAACAAAGAACTCAATAGAAATGGCAGGCGACACGTAATAACAGTGTATTGTCGGCCAAAAACAGGAAAATTGGATCAGTATCAAGATTTCACCCGATATGTCAGGATTAATAGGATATTTATGCCTTTTTGTATTTTTATACTCGACCAACAGAATTTAATGCAAATAAAATGGATTATAAAAACTAGAAAATTTGAAATCCCAAAAATTATAAAGGATAGGAAAAACGAACGGCTGCATGCAGTACCAAGTCTTAATCTAAAAATAATTACACTGTTAAATTACGAAAATGAAATCAGTAAAAATAGATAGATCATCAAATCAAAAAATCATTAATTTATTTGTCTAACTTAAAAATGTTCTGATAAAATTGAACTTTTTCCATTCAAATATTCTCCACTTTTTTAGATCACCATATAAACAAAAGATGGTTAGCTTGCTCCATATCTATGAATATGAAAAAGGGGGCATTTGAATAAAAATAGCTAAACAAATATACGTATATTAAATTTATAAAACGAAGATTATTGACTTGCACACAAACGTTATGAATTTTTATAATGATTAAAGATAATATAAATTATTAAAAATTTCGAATTCTGCAACTCCACTCCAGAATATCGTTTTGCCACGCCTTTTCCGTAACCCTAAGCACGTTTATCCCCCTGGCCTAGGCCCGCCTTTCCCCGTGGTGTAGGCCCGCCCCCGATACATAAATTCCACCTATTGTCTAGCACAATAGGATGCCTAGTAGAACAATGATATCCAATAGGAAACCTTTGTTTTCCACCTCCCCTACTTTCTATACCCTAACTCAGCCACTGTATGCTGCAAAATCATAAAACCGTTGACCTCTATCTTCTATTGCAAAGCAAAAAACTGATAGTTATCCGAATGCTCAAGTTTTCTAAATATTTTACGTCGCAGATATTTGATACTTTAAACTAAGATCATTTGAAACCTCAATTAAAAATGCAATTCCAAATTCAACTTTTAGATCGTAATTTATTTTAAATTCTACAATAAAGATCAAAATTGAAACATTAAAGGTTTATAACATCAGAGTGAGGTGTTAGGGGGGGCAAGGTTTAATGAATTTCAACATGAAGTGGTTGATCTGCATGTAAAATAAGTTGAACCACTGTTTAAATAAAAATTGCTTTAGAAATAAGAAAATTGAAGCTCATTAATTTATACCTACAGATAACTTAAAAGAAATGAAACAAATAAAAAAAATCTTTATTATTTATCTCTTCAATGTTTAGTTTAATAAATTGGATTTTTTCTTTGTCCTTTCAGAAGAATAGAAGAATAGAGAAATATTGGGACAAAGACAAGAATTTAATTTCCTTTCAATGATAAACACGTTTTGTTTGAAACCTGGATTAGAATTCATCATTCCCCTCAATTCACAACTTTTCACAAAGAGAAATCAATTTGTCCTCAAAATTAAATTTTCAAAACATTTTTAATTTAGAAAAGTTCTCAAAAGAATCAGGGTGGCGTAACAAAATCAAAATGGAGATTATTTTAGAAAAGGATTGAAATCTTGTTTTCTATTTTTCCCATGTTTTTCCAAGATGGAGTGGAAACACGTACAGCCACGTGTCGGGTCGGCACAGCTGATCACGTGTCAGCTCGATGCACAGTTTCCGTTTCCGGTTTCCCTTCCCCCAGCTCCCGCTACGCAGTTCCGTAAAAAACAGTTCGTATTCTCACTAATGTTCGCCAATATGTTTTTCTTATTGACAGTGAGCAAGATAGTTAACGAGAAAGAGAGAAAGGGGGTGAAGAAAACAACAAAGCATTTCTTTCGATTATCTATTACCTGGTACAGGTTTTCCTCAAAGAATGGGACTTCAAAGACGACTGCGAAGAATTTATTTTATCATTTTTGTTTAGTTCATAGTTCCCAGCAACTATTTTAAGCTTATCTTCTCTTAATCAGTTTATAAACCATTAGAAGATAAATGTTAGGGAAACAACTAAATTTAGCTTTCAGATATTAATGTTAACAATGTACTTTGTCGTCTTTGAATTCTCATCCTTTTTGAGTAACCCTGTATGCGCACAACCAATTCATAAGTCATCTTTTCTTTAAACAAGGATATTGCATTCTATAAACATTAATAATTTACGTCTTTGCCAAAACGTTTTCATCTGTTTTTGCTGTACACTGAAACAATTGTGATGCCATCTTCAAATAGTTGAACACGTAAATTTACAGAACAAACACAAGGACTAAGCTGACATGGTTAATTCTCAGAAATATGTATTATGATTCATTTTCCTTAGCACTTCGTAATTGTTAGTTTTTTGTTTTGTTTTGTATGCCTGTTTTCCCTTTTATTCTCTATATTCTGATATTTATGCCCCTTCTCACTTTCAACTCCATATTCTTAAAATTATCTCCTTTTCCTTTGTACTCCATATTCATGTACTCTAATTCCTCCTCCCATGTGTACTTTATATCCCCGCCTCTGTACTCCATATTTGCCCCCTATGTACTCCATATCCCCCTCTTTTCCGAAAAAACATTGTGCAAGTATGGAGTTTAGAACCGTATCTGGGATTCTCCGGAAGTAAAGACGATTTGCCGCCATATCCTGTCTTCCTGCCCACCCACTGTCTATGTTAATTTTATGTAAATATTTCCTCTCCGGGAAATGTAAGAATATTTGCCTATATTAAGAGAGTAATAACTCTGCTCTAATGTTTTAAAACTTATATATAATGTGGAGAAAACTGTTTATATTTACATAAATACCCTTCAACCCACAGCTTCCCCTTACACACACACACACACACACCCTAGCACACAAACAATCACAATTCCCACACTTTACTTACAATACGTAGAGAAAAATCAACACATTAATTGGTGATATGTTTTCTTTTTATCAAAAATACAAATATTTGAGAATACACTTGAAACTTGTTATTTCTGATGTTCCATCAACTCTCTAGTTGGACAAGTTCAATTCCTCTTGATCTGAGTAAAGAATTAGGTCTACAGAAACCAGCTGAACTTGAAATAGTGTTCTCCTCTAAATCAATTGTAGCGTGAAGATTTTGAAAAGAATCGTTTTCATTCCAAATCCCAGTTACACGATCCTCATTACCAGTGAAGAAGAATTTAATATCGTTTCTAATCTAGAAAACAAATAACAGATATAGATTTATTGATTTACTGAAAGATTTGACAAGCCGTCATTACCTCTCATAATGTTTTTGTTTAAAAAATAACCAAAAAATCTTTCAAAGTAAGAATTCACTTAACCTAAAATTATAATTTTCTAATCCTTATATCTTTACAACATGATGTTGTAATCCTTTCTTTTTCAAACTTTAATTTTGGCATAGTTCAAAAAAGTAGTTTAAAATATCAGAGGTTTACACCATCCGCATGCAGAGATATAGGAATGAGATAATTGGACTTTTAGGCAAGTGTTCAGATCCAATATGGTTTAGGAAATAAATGAATACCAGTTTTGTACTATAATATATTGCTTCAAAATAAATTTTTCAGAGCACAATTTGAATCGGGATATTTGATATTAATTTTTATATATAATCAAACCTTGTAGATCCTATCGTAGGTTAGTATATTCAACCAGAGAATAAGAGTAGATATGGTCACAATCCAATGAAGAAAAGTAAGAACTGCTCCTAAAAAAGAAAAGAATTTAAAAGTTTTGGTGCAAACGGAAAATTATTTTTGACCACAAAATTAAATTTGTAATCCTTATATCTTTTCAACATAATGTCGTAGACCTTAGATATTTCATACTTTGAATTTCGTAAGATCAAATAATTTAAGTTTAAAATATCATAGGTTCAAACCATCAGGTTGCAAAGATAAAAGATTCGAAAATTTGATTTTGTGGCAAAAACTTAGTTCCTTAACTCAACAAAAAGTTTAAGCGCACCTACCTCCAACCCTCAAATCTTCAGAACAACCTGACATTTTTTCAATAGCAGCATAGTTTCTTCTGAACAAAAATTCGTTTAGAACTTTATTGGTATATTTTCATTTATGGTATAAAGAAAAAGGTTGTTACCCAACTAGGAGTTTGTATGAGTACGCTGTTCCCACCACGTTTACTCCAACAGAATAGATAATACAGAGTATAATTCCGAACTTGAAGGATTAATGGAACTTTTCTATATCCGGCAGATTCGGGATTTTACATTAAGCGCTTCCAATGGATTTAAAGTAAAAAGTTTAAGATTTATTCAAACCTCGAAATGTTTTCAACTGATATTTCTAAAGGGAAAAGTAGTTTCAGTGAAAACGCCCAATAAATGTTTGTAAACCGATTTACATTCATGTTTGAATAGTATATTTTTTTCAAGACACTTAGCAGATTTTAAAACTTAAACTATGATAAAACTAAGGGTTGGTTAAAAGTTCATAAAATATTCTTTAAACTTGTCAAATGAAGTTGGCCAGAAAAACTTCCCTTGAGACTGAAGTTTGAAAGGCCAGGACTACATTTTAATGTGAGGACAGAAAAGAAGAGATGCACGGCCATTATAAGAAACTCTTCATAATTTCAAAGACTTAGATACTTGATCGTTAAACAAACAATGAAATTAGGATTACAAAATGAATTATTAAATTAATAAAAAAACCTTCATAAGTTCAAAGACTTAGATACTTGTTAAACAAACAATGAAATTAGGATACAAAATTAATTATCAAATTAATAAAAAAAACCGTACAGTTTGAAATTTTCCTGTCCAAATCATTAGTCCTGCCAAAATAAGAAACTTCGGAACGTTCGGATTGCTGGGACAGTCCTCAAGCCCTTTCACGCCTAGTTAAAAAGTCAGATACGAATTTTTAAATTTCAATAATTTAATTTTCATGATTTGGATATTTATTTCCCTCTGACTTTACGAGTTTAAATATGTATACAAAGAAGTATTTGAAATATATATAATATCAACTGACCTAAAACAAGAGAAACGAGGCTGAGAGAGATTTCTAGAAAGAGGAACACATACTCCACTATAATAAAGATGCATTCTAGCATCAACATTTCTCTAGCATTTTTGCGGATTAACTGATTTTCACTGGAGGATTTTCAAAGCTTTCGGTAGAAAATTTTCAAAAATATTTTCCTCCTTTTCTTTATAATATTTATTTTATTTCCAGCCGTAAGGTTAAACACATTTGTTATAATAAAATACGTAAGATTGTCCATTTCCTTTGTACATATCATATAATTCTATGGTTTGCTAATGTATAAAAATGGTTTAATGTGGGTGTATGTGAAACGTATCTGTTTGTTTAGTGTGTGCAGAACCAGCCTGTCATTTTCCTTTGTGTTCAGCACAATAAACCTCTCAGGGACCAGGGAAACATAAACCTTGCAATATCAAAATTCTTTCACAATAATGTATACTATATACTGAAAACACACATGTTTGTTATTTTTGTCATGATCTTGATCGAATCGGCCAGATGATTTACAATTAAATCAGAAAAAAATATTTAAATGAAATCTATAAGACACTTTTCACGACATAAATAAAAGATAAACCTTGATTAGTTTGCATTAATTGCATTATTGATACAGTGAGACCCAAAGACTTTGCTAATTATAAAGATGAGGCGTTGTAAATTTCTCCGACTATTGTGTACGCCTGTACAGCTGTATTTTGACGTCATTGGTTATTTTGGTTGTTTGAGAGTCTAACGATCGACATTAAAACCTTAGTTATTTAACATAAATGTGAATGTTTTGTGTAAGTTAACTAAAATTAATGATATTTAAAATTTATTTAATCATTTGTTGGAAATGAGGATCATTTGGTGTATTATACCTGAATTTGTGAAAAAGTTACGCATCTTTTTGAATAAAAAATAGCCAATAATTGTTACTGAAAATATTCTGCAGATGTCGTCAAATATTTTTACTGAGGTTCTATGGAATGGGATTTTAGGCGATGAAGGAGAGAGGGGACCAGAAATTTCCAATATTATAAACGGTAAATAAATTTTGTGTAAATGTCGTCTTCTGTTTAATCTTAGGCCAAAGAAATAATATCGCATACATTAATGTATTAATTTTACTCTTCAATTCAATTATGGGGATTTTGTTTCAAAAATATCCACCATTAAAGAAAAAAATATCACAGAAAGTTTCGTTAAAATTTCGAATTAAAGGGCGACCTTTTACTTAGAAGTATTTTAAAGTTAATTACAAAAGGTTTGAGGTATGATTATTGGAGGATTTTAAAAGGCAGAATAAAAAAATAACATTGATGAAAATAAAACTGGGGAATATAAAGACGACTTTTAGACTCAATTTTTGATTAAATGGTTCAATGAACATAAAATACCGCAATTGAGCAGTGTTGCCAAGCAAGGTAACATGTATGATACCAAATTGCCAAACCATCCACGAATAGGAGAGTCTGCGTTAACTTACCAGCAGATCCAAAAAAGAAAAAAGTTTGGATGAAGGCTCTTTAATTGGATCATATGAATTCCTTACGCTGAAAGATCCCATAATATTTTTCAATAATTCATTTAAATCAGGTAGAGAGAATTCAACCTTGAATGAAAAAATGAGATAATTGATTACTGCTAAAAAGTACAAGGTTACTTGCATAAAAGATATGAGACATTTATTTTCTTCTTATAAGCACTTCATAATCTTATACTTTAAACCAAAAGTAAATGTCTTAAGGAACTCATAGATGTATGTTTCAAGTTACCAACCCATTTTAAAGGTGTTATCAACAACAGAACCATTTAATCAATTAACTGGGTAACAATGAGGAAGATATCGTCGTTATTTCATCTTAAAAAGTGATGAATGGACTATGGACAAATTAAATATTTCAAGATAGAAAAACTTGTTTCGTTTTTAAATAACTATTTAATCTATTACAAAAGACAACATTATGAAACGTCAATAGGGTAAATACATAACGGATTTCTGGAGAAGACGACATTAGTTATTATCTTTGGCTATCCGAGGAAATGCGTCGAATTTGCGTAGATTTTCTGATGCGCTATCTTTATTTAGCAAAGTCTTTGGTGAGACCCATACAACTGTGAAATAGGAATACGACTGTTGACTCAAAGGTATGCTTTTAAATAGTCTAATAAACGTGAAACACTTTCTCCTTTCCATGTCTAATAAAAGCTGTGTTTCTAAAAAAATGATTCTTTCAGAATAGAAATAAATTGGCAAGAAAAAGGCATATTAATGATTGTGAGAATATTTTTTCCGAATGCTTAAATAAGAATGCATGTGTTGCTTTAGACTGAAAGGAATCCAATATTATTTTTCCTGCTTCTGTTTCATCAATATACAATAAACATGCAATATGAAATTAACATAATTTACCATCGTTAAAACGATTTTGTTTGTTGATTTCAGTCCACAAAATTAAGTTTGCATATGGCAGAGAGTCAACTAATTTCACCTTACATTATCTACCTTAATTATGTCCCTTGTATTGATCAATTTAAAGGGATTTCCTTGGATTAACCCCCCTTTCCCCTGAAAATATCTAATTTCAATTCTGTTTTACAATGGTTGGGGGAGAGAGAAAACCACGAGTCATTCACAGTTTCATTACGAGAAAAATTGTTTGTCACTCTGCATACGAGTGCTTTCCTGTCACCAGACAGTTATACAAGGGGGGGGGCAAGTAACATATTTCGTTCGTTAAATATAGTTCGTTATATTATCTCAAGAGAATGTGGTCGTCTAACAATATATGTAAATTCTTGTAACAACTAATATTTCTAAAGTAGTTTTTTTTTTAATAACTTTAGAAGTAAATTGGTAAAAAATATTTTATTACACATTAACAATTTTTTAGCTTAATTTTACTCCCAATTCTACTTTTGTTTATGAGGGATGAGACTTCAGAGCATCTATCTCGTCTTGGTTTGTTTGAGGTTTACCATGTGCTGGAACCTTCTCAGCCTGCCATGTTTTGATCGCCTAGAAAAAAAATAATTAATAACAAGTTTTACAATTTGGTTTCATTAGCATCATTCCAGAAATAATAAAGTTTAGACAAAGCTTTAAAGGGAACTGATTACACGCCTCAAACTTTAATTTTCTCATCCCTTTATCTTTTCAACCTGACAGTGAACTTGTTTTTTATTTTAAACTTTGACTATTTTATATAGCGGAATTCATAACGTCAGGTTGATAAGATACAAAGGTCAGATTAGAGAATAATCAGCTCCTTTTGCAAAATTTTTATTTATCAATATTTTGTGGGGTGGGGTGGATACAGTGTGTGACACCAGTTCTCGGTAGATCACTGAAGTTAAGCACACTTGTCCACAGCCATTAACTGGATTGGTGTTAAGACTGCTGTGGTTTCAAAAACATCTGAAGCCGACATCTTGTTAAACAGTTTTGACCCCCTGACGGATGTAGGAGGACAGCAGGGCGGCTGTCAACAACTATCGCAGCGAAAGGGTACGTTCTTTCTAATCAACGAGAAAGAAGCTTGAAGTGGATTGATACAAGTGAATGATGATGAAGAGAGGAAAGGTGGAAAAGCAGGGAGAGTCTATGGTTGCATGATTGGGAGCAGTGAGTGTAATGTTTCCTGTCTGTAAGGTACCCGGGCCTCACTCCACTATATCAGAAGAATTCCTGCACTCTATTATTCTCAGGCCTAAGAAGCAGCTGGAATCTTGTCAACCCTCTTCTCAGTATGAATGAAGCAACAAGTAGATTGTAACAACCCGATTTGATCGTAACAACCCGATCATGTCCTGGGGACAAAAAAATCTCCTGTAAAACATTTTAAGTGGAATTGAATTGAGCCTAGTCAACAACCACAAATTATTAACTCGAATCATCGAATTGATCGGTCACACTTTATTGTCTGAAAAGCAAAAAATCATGAAATCAGATGAGAAAGGACATTTTATGCTTCTAAATAGCCCAATTAACATGAAACACGGCAATTGTCCAGTGTTTACCATTTCACAATAAGATTCATATACATATTAGATTCCACAGCTTTATGAATCTCACATTATACAATTAAAAAATCTTGAGCAAAATTTAATACGCAAAAGAAATTTCGGAGACGACAATAAGTCCAAATTTTTTAGTTTTCAACTCTTTCTTGGCAAAAAAGGTACCTGAATATTGAATGTAAGCTGAAACAGGATGAGAAATAAACTATCTCTCATATAGAAAACTAATGCAAGCTCAGACACAATAGTCCACACTAATATCAGCCACCAAACCTACATGATCAATATTCAAAGACAATACTTACATTTGTTTAAACAAAGGAATTGAGTTTTTTCTCAAACGGTTTAATCCCAATATCTCTGCAATCTGATGGTGCAAATCTTAGATATTTCACATTTAGATTATACGATCTAAAAGAATTCATAGTTTGAAATATCTAAATTCTACGACATTGTGTTGCAAATAGGAATTAAAAGTACAGACTTTCTGGCAAAGACGCAATTTCGTTGGTACGTACAGCAATATTCAAACTGAATTGGGTGCTTCATCATTATTTTAGCGAAAGAAACTTTGTTGCTGCGTTAAAATTACCGGGTCAGGATTTTAAAATGGCGCCTCCAAAAGAATTGAATTGTTGACAATTGTTAATAGAACTCAAGAAAAACTCTATTGACTAAGTATTTGTTATTGTTTGATAATGTATAAAAGAGAAAATGTTTTTAAAAAGATTTAAAAAAAACATTATTACATGAAAGTGGTGCGCATAGCGTTGATTTTCTTACCCCAAAATGAACGCAGAGTGCTGAGAGATACCATCCAAATGTGCATGAAACCAAATCTCCAACTCAAAAATAAGAATAAAAAATAAGATTCTTTTCGATCAAAACAATATTTCCACATCATTTTAAGTGACACCCCTTGCAAAAATGGCAATGCCTGATTTACAATGGTACCCCTTAAACCTTGTCTGTTCATTAAGTACAAAGATATGTGTATGTAAATCTATTGAAAACCATTTTAGTTCATGTAAAACCCAGTGTACGCGCGTGCAACGCAAGACAACTGATCCGTTACTTGTGCATCCATTGAAATCACTGAAAATTTTACGCTAAAAGCGGTCTTGAAAAATTCGAATGAAAATAATTTTTTTTTCTGTCACGTCTAGAACGTGAATATTAATATTTTTAAAATATAAAACAAAGTGTTAAAGTACTCTGTAGATAATAAATGGGGATAAGTCCGACAAACTTGTTTTGTCAAAGGTTTTAGGGGTACTGTTGGGAATCGTACACGTCAATCTAACAAAAATTTGTTCATTTACCCTTTCTGTACAGTCCCTTTAATACCAAAACTTTAAAAAACTCCTCGTCAAAAAAAGATTCATCAAAAAAATAGAAAGAAACTGATTATTCGCGCCAACTCTAAATTTCTATCACAAAACATTCATTTGTGACTGGATTTTAAACTTTGGTTTCTTGATCTTGCAGAATTCATTGTGTGAAATATCAATAAGTTGCAAAGATAAAGATTATAAAAATATCGGTTTGTAACTAACTGTGTGGTAGATAATCAGTTTCTTTACAGTTAACTTACTGATATTTTGAATGCTGTCCCCCTGGTAAAGTCCTGAAGTTCCAGATTTAGTCCTATACATCTGAGAGAAATCATGTTAAATATACAAAACATTGATTAAATTAATAGTTTTCCTTATTTTCTTCCTGATTAGAAATATTCGTTAAAACTTACAGGTCACATGTTTCTCTTCACTTTAACCTCAGAAAATCAGGAATATAATATGACCTTTTTATTTCCAAAAGAAACTGTAGAAATTAAAAAACTGTAAATATCATAATAAAATATTAGAGCTAGCCCTATACCCTATTCATGAATACATTTCTGTCAATAAACATTAACAATCCTGAATGACCCGGTCTGAGTTCTCTAAAAACTCATGAGCTAGCTCCAATAGGAAGGAAACACCGGGTCCAGCCAACCAAACCCACCACCTAGAGTATCTATAATAGAATTGATAATAAGCAATGAACATCGATGATTAAGATGGATATGAAGAAGTAGACGTTAAAATTTAAACTGTTAATTTTCATTAGCGGGTTCTCCGTAAAAGTGGCTTGCACATTTCTTACGTATATAAGCAGCAATGGATAAATTATACCGGGCACAGTTATCTTTGGATGAAGGGTCAGTTGAAATTAAGCATAAAGTCCAATTAAGATGGATATGAAGCTACGTATAATGTTGAGGGCTTTCAAGTGGATGGTTGTTGCTGATTTATTACTGTATTTATGCACGATCACTTAATGTGTATTGTAGCAAAAATAATGTATAAATGAAAATTGTACTTAACGAAACCAGTTAATTAATGCAAGTAAAGATGTGACTAAACAAATTTATAATCAATTATTTTAATAATCTATATTTCATAATTTTTAATAATTTCTCATGTTTAAATTGTATTTGCTGTTTATTTTTTGTCTATTTTGACCCACTTTGTCATTAATTAAATAGCTATCAATAATCAAAGACTACCATTGAGACGTATCTTATTTGTGATGAGTGGGAAACCCTGTTTTAATTAATTATGCTACAGTCGTCGACGTTTATATCATTTAATGCAGAATTCTTTTTGATTCCTAGAAATTAGAAAGTTTTTTTTTTCAAATTAAAAGTTTACAAGTAAACAAAGAGAAGTTGCTTGACACTTCTCTGCGTTTTTTTTTCTATGTATCCATGCTGTTTGAAAACTTGGTAGAAATCAAAATTTAAATAAAAACTGATTTAAAAAGTCGTCTTCATTATATTGATATATATGACGACGACTGTATTTTTTTTACCAAGAATTCCCCCAGATAAGCTGAGGCCACCAACCAAGCAAACCATAGAAGAAGACTCCATGAAGAATATGGGTAAAGCTGTATGGATCAAAGAAGTATTGGGAAACCCTAAAATAAATAAAAAAAATCAGATCAATTTAACTTTATAGCACAGATTAATTTTAAGATTTTTAGATTGACATTAGTTTATACTCTCTTTCATTTTCCCGAACATTCCTTTAAAGCCAGGTTAAAAATCTAAACTTCTAGATTCTCTAACGTAGTCATATAATCTGTGAATTGAAAGCACTTATATCTCCAAAGACCAAAATCCAAATTTCAAATATTGACATAGAACAAATACTTTTTAGAATGTCGTCTTTTATAAAATCTAAATTTCAAATCTAAATTTCACGAATCCCATGGTTTTCATGCTTTTCTTAACTAATTAGTAACTTATAATTTATTTGAAAATTAAAATAAGAAATGTACCGTAAGAGTGTATGGTGGTCATTTAAGTCTCATCCTTTGTGGGTAACCCTGTATGAGTGTTTTCAGTTTAGTTACAAACTTACAATTAAAATGAATAAATATTGAATATATGAAACGATTATACTAGACTACATATGGCATAAATCTAAGTATCTAGAAGTATCTAGAGCTAAAAAGCAACCAAAAATGAGATTTGATCATCTGAATGAACTCTGCTATTTCTATAACACTCGTAAGAAATAAAAATGAGAAATATGATGCAACCTTTATATATTTCATGAAAAGTACATGTACCTCGGTGAATACCATTCAGGGACATACAACGGCCACCATTCTCCTTTATGCCACGCCATTATCTCAATTTATAAACTCTCCTTCTAGAACAGATTTATACCTTTCAGTTCTACAGAAAATATTCTGTGAGACTGTTTTGCACTGAGGAGCCGGCCTGGCCGCCTGCAAACCTAGATCTGCAGTCTGCACACTGCAAATTCTAGAAACTCCGGCCCACACACAATTTTGCATCATTGCATGGACCACAGAGAGAAAAGAGACTGACAGACTTGACAGATTTTCAGGTCGTCTTTGAAGAGAATGGTGTCGTAATTTTAAACGACCTTCTAATAAAGAAACGGGTATGTCCGATTCACAACCGTACTCGTGAAACCTTAAAGGGAGTGACCGGCAATGTAAGGTAGTTGAACTGAGTATGCAGTGTTGTGGAAAAATTATTTCGGATTCATTTGAGACATATCAAACTTTTTAAAGATCTGTGAATCCTGAGTTTGAGCGCAAATTCGACGTTCAAAACTCCTACTTAAGGGGTGGACACGTTTCAGAATTAGTTTTATTTAAATTATTAAATAACGACAGCGAAAAATAAAGTAAAAGTTATACAGTAATCTAATTAGATGGTTAGGAACATATTTCTCAAAAGAAATTTGTCAATAAATCAATGCTAAAATTGATTATTTCTTTTTCATTATCATATTGAATTTCTAATTTTCTTTGAATTTATTCTCAGATTTCTTAAAATTCTTCAAATGCCGTCTTTTCAATTATCATTCTAGAAAATCTGCGAAAACTTTGTGAAAAATGAGAAACCAGAATAATGAAAAAATAGAAACTAATAATGAACAAGATTACTTATTTTCGATGATAAGATTAATTTTTATTTTCTCAACATGTTCCTATACATGACGTCTGTAGTTTATTGAAGAACTTTTTTACATTTTATGTTGTCGTTATTTAATAAAATCCACCCCCAAAAGTAGGAGTTTTCAACATCGAATTTGCGATCAAACTCAGGATTTACAGATCTTTAAAAAGTTTAATATGTCTCAAATTAATCCGAAAGAAGCTTTCCACAACACTGCATATTCAGTTCAACTACCTTTCATAGCCGGTCACTCCCTTTAATCTGACCAATAATGTGGAAGAAACCATCGTTTTCTAGCTTGGCAAGTGTTTAATTCAATGCAATTCATTTCAAATTGTATTTTTCTGAACCTGAAGAAACATTATTAGTATAACAATTTTAACGATAGCATATAAAACATTATAAATGGTATATAATTGCTTTACAACAGGAGATCCCCCTGTATCTAAACAAACTCTAAAAAAATGAATTGGCAACACTATGAGGACGGAACGGAAGGGTTAGAGTACACGGTGCAGGCGACCATGCAGGGCACGTGGATTTAACGGTTCCGTCAATACTCCAGAAAGCTGTGACTTTCTATCACAATTTGACCCATTAAACATAATTTCTTTGCATTTTTTCCTGAATACTTTTTTTGGTCGGTCGAATGAAAAAAGTATAGAATAACCAAATCCGTAAGTTAAAAGATTACTGAATTTTAGACCAAAGCACGTTTGATTTCAAATAGAAGATTAACCGAATGCTGCTCACTCTGGTTATTTCGGGGTGAGGGGTTTACAGACGGTTTAAATCACAGGGAAACCACACAATTATTAATTATAAAGTGAAATGAAGGGCTCAACAAATTGAACATCAACAGAAACACAAAACTATGATTTGAAAACAAACATAACAAAATAGTTTAGAGCACTGAAAGTCCCGACATTTATAAATACTAGGCTTCGCGCCCATCTTTTTAACTTTTAATTGTGGGTTTATCTCTGATTATCTTACCTCTTTGTACAGTATAAAACAAAAACAAAAAAAGTTTGCGGATTTCATAATATTTTTTCGCGCATTTTTTAAATTTTACAAAAATATAAAACTTTTAACACAAATTTTTAAAATTTTATCATTCCCTGCAGGGTCATGTGAGGTCCCACACAAAATTTTGGGCTCGATCGGTTCAGCCGTTTTGACGTTTATTGGATACAAACAAACAGACAAACACCCATACCCCCAAGATAAATTTATACATAGAAGCGTCGTAGTTTTTATTCTATTTTAAATTCGTTTTATTAGAGATGAGTTTTAAATGAAGTGGTAAATTATTCAATAGAGATGGGAAGGTATATAATGGAAAACGTTTAATATAGTCAAGATGAATTCTAGGAAAAATATAATCAGTATTGAAGTTGATATTCACGATCTTCTTGATTTTTAAGAAATTCGTTTAAAAAAGAAATAGGAGCAATATTGATACTTAATTAAATGCATGAAATTGTTGAGAAACTAATTCAGGTAAGGGTAGAATATTAAGAGAATAAAATAATGGATCAGTTTGCGCGGTATATTAAAATTCTAAGACAGCGTTTTTACTAGAGTTGCAATTATTCTGATCAGGGAAGTAAATATTACTATCCGTAATTTAAAGTGAAAACTCCGCAATTATCTTTTATAAAGACAAAATAACAAATGAAAACAATCAGTTTTTAAAAACAAATTAACATTAATTTAAATTGCACATGTAATGTTTGCAATAGAGGTTCACTTAAATCAACTTTTACGGCCCCTGTAAGTCATCCAAGGTTAATGTGAAACCTATTTCTTTTAACTTTCAGTTTATTTTCATTAATGAAAAGAGAAGGCTAACATTTAATAGATGACAAAAACACACTGAGAATAAGTGTTCATATAAATCCACTATTTGTAAAAATAACGTATACGTATATCCTGAAATTATTTATTTTAAAATCTAAAACAGTTTTTAGCAGTTCTTGCAACTGGTGAAAAGTTCAGGACTCCCCCCCCCCTAAAATGTTTGACCATCAAAAAACTAAAAAGCTTTTTTTCAGATATTGTTAAAACCAAGTTGAATGATTTCCAAATGGTATCAAACTTTTAAAACCTCACTGAGATACATGACACCAATAGTCGAAAAGGGTCCAAAACAGAAAATGGCAGGCCCATTTAGGAAACTTATTTGTGGTAGTTTTACCCTAGTGCTTCCTATCAGATGTATTGCACATGTTGAATTTGTTTATATACATAAGATTTAATCAGTGCAAATAGAGGTGAGCCGAAGAGAAAGAGTTCATGCTCGCTCTTATGTTTGTAGTTATTACCTGGTCTCCTATAGGTAAAATTGAGCACAGTGAAAATGGTGAATTTAAAACTCACCTAATAAACAATATTCTTGAGCTCTCTACCTAACCTCGCACTAATCTTATGCCTGCAGTCCAGCGTAGCCCAGAACCTCTAGGAGGCTATGATGAGAACCTACAACCGGTTACGGATGAAGGAGATACTGCGGGAACTACCTCGGAGTTAGATCTTTTAGCTCCAACTTCGCGCAGAACACGCTCTAGACTCGGAGCTGTTGGAACCTTCTCCAGATCCTTGTCTCGTGGAACTCCTGTATCTCCATGAAGTAGACCTCTAGGCTTTCAGGGTGCTGCTGGACGTGTATCTCGGACTCCTCCTGCTCGTCCAAGCACTCGTTCTTCAGGACTTCCTCTAAATTCTAGTATAGCATTTAGCCCTGTCATCTGACTCCGACTCCTCTGATGCCTCCGGTGAACCTGAGACTCATACTCTGTCATTTGGCTCCGACTCCTCCGATACCTCTGGTGATCTTGATGCTCTCCACCCCCTTGAGCAGGCTGCTCAGGACGTTAAGAGAAATTTCTTTTCAGGTTCTGCAAAGGAGGATCAGCTGAGACCACAGTGAACCCTAGATTAAAACAACTAAGTGATTTATGGATGTTTAAACACAGCAGTAACGGTGATTGATCATAAAAATCCAGGTTCCTCAGGAATTCGGCTGGTCAGCTAAATGAACGAAACGTAACTCCTTGTGATTAGTGTGAAGATATTGAGACAGACGTGAATTCTTTGAAAACACCTGAACACTTTCCCTGCCGCCCAGTGTAAGATCTGTGGATCTTTATAAACTAATGTGTGTTCAGGGTGTTCAAAGTCGAGAAGTTCTCCAGCTTGTCCTACAGAGAACCCCTATCTTCAAGCAACTAATCCTACAAATCTCTACAAATACATTGAATCTACCATTATCTATCTTACCATTCAAACTACCAATCTAAGATTTTGATGTAAACCTTTCTGAAGCCTATTTTATATTCTTGAAATTGAGTCTAATTTTCTACTATCGTACATGTCTTAAAACAGAATTGTCGATAAGTTTTTAAATGCTTAAAAGTCTAGCCACTTTAGTTTTAATAATAGGTCTTGTCTTTCAGACCAAGATGGGTTAGTTGTACCCCTCCCACTTGGTTTCATTCTCTTTCTCCAGGTTTATAAATCATCCGTGATTTAAATGTTCACATGGAANCCCACCCTTCCTAGCAATGCATGTCAGACAGAAAAATCAGATTGTAGAAGGAAAGCAGTTAAAACACATAAACTGAAATTATTTAATTCTGTCTTAAAAATATTCATGAAAGAAAACAGGGAGTTCAGGCATGTTTATGCCTAATTTTTAAAATATTTTTCTTAACAATATTGTAACATTAATATTTACCTTTTCAATCTCAAAAAATGCTTCTGCAACTTTCTGCATTTCTACATTTCTAAGTATTAATTTCGTGGATTTATCTTGGAACTTTTAGCAAAGGATCTGAGTTTTTGTCACAAACTCAGATTTGTTAAACCCAATATCTCTGCAACTGGATAGGGTAAAACTTTGATATTTCAAACTCAGATTATTTGATCTAACAGAATTCATAGTTTGAAATATCTAAGGTATACGACATTAGGTTTGCAAAGTTATAACGATAGGAAAATTTTAGTTTGTGGCAAAAACTCAATTCCTTTGTAGCTAACTGCTCGCCAGCAACAAAATATACCTAGTTGGTCACGATCCCTTTGATCTCAATTTAACTCCCAATCTCAACTTCCAATGTTTTTTTCAAAGTCGGAATTGTATAATTTGTTATTTTTTTTTGACTTACACTTAAAAACGATCTCATCGGAAACGTTATTTTTTTCCAGAAAAATACATATTTTTAAATTATATTTCAAGATGTACAAAATAGTTGTATAGGGGTTGATTAAAAACAATAATGTAAGCTTATGCTAGAGGTTTAAGAGCTGCAGTCTCTTCAGGGTTAGGTTTAGGTTGACCTTCTTCTGGAACCTTCTCAGCCTGCCATCTCTTTATAGCCTTAACAATAAATATATATGAATAATTAATATAAAATAAATTGAGTCTTTATAGTTTGAAATATCTAAGGTCTACGACATTAGGTTTCAACGATAGTGGGATTATAAAATCAGAGTTTGTGGCAAACACTAAATTTTGTATAACAATAAAATTTAGATTTAAACTTAAGTGAACTAATATTGGGTATTCATCTATGGAATAATGGTCAAATTCCCGCAAAAACTGCTGGCGTAACATATATTCCTCGAAAACAACAAGTATTCCATTATTCCTCATATAAAACTATATTATCTACCTCTATATTACAAGTTAGTTGGATTACAACAAGTATTCCATTATCCCTCATATAAAACTATATTATTTACCTATATATTACAAGTTAGTTGGATTACAACAAGTATTCCATTATCTCTCATATAAAACTATATTATCTACCTCTATATTACAGGTTAGTTGGATTACAACAAGTATTCCATTATCTCTCATATAAAACTATATTATTTACCTCTATATTACAAGTTAGTTGGATTACAACAAGTATTCCATTATCTCTCATATAAAACAACAAGGCTAGCTCAGAGGTTACAGTCCATATTAGGATAATCCACCAAACCTGTAAAAATAAAAAATGAATTTCGCTTATTTCTTTTACAAAATTTTGATGATAGCCAAGGCTAACGTTAAGTGGATTGGCTGAAGGAACTGAGTTTTTGCCACAAACTCTGATTTTCTAACCCCTTTATCTTTGGAACCCGATGTCGAACTGTTTTGATATATTTTAACTATGAATACTGTTAGAAAATCAGAATTTGTGGTAAAAAATCAGTTCATTTGTATTATTAAAACTATATTTTTAGTTTTTTAACTTTTTAATCAACGTTAAAAAAACTATTCTAATTAAAATATGTTATGTCTTACTCTACACCGATCCTCAGTAGTAAAATCCGTATAAGTCAATCGGTAAGATCAAATAGATTAATCTACAGAAACGGATCAATTATACACGGCGTCACAAGTGTCAAATATATCAAGAAAAACGAAATTTTCTCACAATAATTGACATGTTTTCCGAGATTAAATAAAAAAGTGTAAAAACAGAAAATAAAGAACACATAAAATTGCACTTATTTTATTGTAAGAAAAGCACTTTATTCTAAAATTATCACTATCTTCTATATATAAAAAAAAAATTCATATATATGTTGAGTATAGCCGGCCAAACAGCTGGAACGATCGGGCTGACATTTTTTGTGGACACTCATGGGTGGCCGGGGGGTGTTTTTTTTCCTCAATATTTTTTTAATTTTTATTTTATTTATTTTTTCCACGGGCAACGCCCGGACCTTCAGCTAGTTATTAATAATTTTGTCGGACACAAAAACTAATCTGACTCTAAGAGTGCACAAATTCTACGTTGCCATCTATTGTACTAAAATCAATTTAGGGGATATAAGCGAAGGAAAACTAAATTTAAACGTTTTTAAAAAGTAAAAATGAACACGTTTTATGAATTAAGAGTGAAAAAATCCAAAATAAATCATAAAATATCAACAAATTCAAAATGGTTATACCAGTAAAATATAAAAGGCTGTTTTTAGGTATAGATTTTTCAGATTTTACTTACCCCGTAATGAACGCATAGGGCAGTGAGATACCAACCAAAAATACAAGATATCAAATCTCCGACTGAAAAAAAATATTCAATTTTGATTTTATTTTGACTATTTTACAAAATATAATAAAGCAGAGTGAACTTCATTCTATTGCTAACATTTCTCCTGGAAAGTTGATTACATATATAAAAATGCTAAATTATGAATTAACGATAAGACTCTTTAAGAACTTATTTCAATATCTTCAAAAAAAAAAGTTAGATTAGATTTAGACAAAGAAATTTTTTTGAAGATCACCTTTTACTTCTTTTACAGTATTCATATATATGGGATGTACTTTATCAGAAAAAAAATGAAGCTGAAAGATTTTTATTTTTGATAAAGCTTACTTATATTTTGAAGGCTATCCCCCTCGTATAGTCCTGATGTGCCGCTGTTATTTCTGTACATCTTTGTAAACGTTTGTTGAAAAATATTTTTTGTAACCATTTAGTGAGTTATAATACGGTTACGGTAACCAGGTTACCTTCGTTTTCGAACCCACTCATATTTTTGTTATTGTGTTTGGTTTGGTTTAATAGTCTTTGGCTTATTTAAGTATAAAGCAATCTTTGAAATATAAAAACTTTTTTCGCAAAAACCCAAAAATGTTTTTTTTAAAACTGAAGCTTTAAAATCTTCATAACCAGGTTTACAAACAAGTGGGATTGCACAGTAAGCCCAAAGGACAAGGCCTGGCGACACTACAAAGTCGATACCGTCTCAAAAGTTGGTGCATAATTGTCCAAACTGTGTAGAACACCGTGCTTGATTGACCGGAATCAAACATTTTATTCCGGTCAATCAAGATCAATCAACTATTATCAACAATCCTGGATCATCCACTCTGAGTTCTCAATTAGCTCATGAGCTAGTTCAGCTAGTAGAGCTATTCCTGCTCCAACTAACCAAACCCACCACCTAGAAATTATCTTGTTCATCGTTGGGTAATTTTCAGAAAAAATGAATAAAACTTTCAGGATTTGAAAACTGTATTAAGATATTGAAAAATTAGATTATATATAAAGCAGTTTTTTAGTTCCATGGTTAATTATTAATAGTGTCAATTATAAGTTTTGAAATAACTATTCATCACTATAATTGTGGTTCTCAGTGCTATAAAGTTTTTGGACAACTAGGCTTTAATGTGAGAAAGAATATTGTTAGAGGTGATGCTTGACAGACTTCAATGGCTTTTTATAGAAATAATATTCTTTTAACAAAGCAGAAATAAAAAACAATAGGAAATATTAATTCTTTTTTTCTTCTCAAAATATCCAATGTTTTTTAGAAAATCCCAGAAACCACGTCTGTAATAAAATTTACCTGAGTACTTACCAAGCATACCCCCAGACTAGTTGAGGCCACCACCCCCATAAACCGAAGAATATGAAACCATGAAGAATATGGCAGAAACTGTAAGGATCAAATAAGTTCTGAGAAACCCTAAATATAAAATCATTTATTTTTGGATACCAGGGACCGAGTTTAATGAATTGGAAAGGTCACTGAACTAACTTGCGCCTTGAATCCCCGATTCAAATACTCGCGTATCTTTAACTTTAAATCGGTAATTGAAGTTTTAAAACGGTAATGATCATTAAATTTGGTTCCAGATTTAAGGTAATTGTAAATTGTTCTTGGCATTTTATCTTTAAAAAAATTCAAAGATAAGATTGCATGTAATCCTCAAACTAAATAGAAATATTTTAACCATTTGATCTACTTTTATAATTTACATATGTTTTATATAGACTCTATTAAAGTTTTATCAGATTATATCAATGTATTATGAGATACGATCAAAGTAAAAAAATTGTGAGGTCTTTAAAAAGTTTTCTTAGGTTCTATTAAAGTTTTGTGATATTTTAACAAAGTTTTATGAGATGCTAAAATGAGATTTTACAATAGTTTAAGGAGAATCGGTCAACATATTTTATAAGTTTTTCACCTAAATCACATAATATTCTGTCAAAGTTCTAGAAGATTCCAATTACCTAGGAGCATACCAATCTGGTACATAGATGGGCCACCATTTTCCGTTATGCCACGCCATTTTTAAAATTCAGTTTTCGATTCCGGAACTAAGTTGCTAAAAACTCGTGTCAATTTTCTAATCTTTAATGTAGGTGCTACCTCTTATATTTTTAATTATGAAGTCTGCGAGATTAAACAGCCTGAAGTTTGAAATATCAAATGTTCGCCAATTGCAGTTGCAAATATGTCGATTGGAGAATTCAAGTTTGAGGCAAGTTATCAGTTCCTTACAAGTAATTTAGCAGACTGTTATGTTTTCTACATTGCATCAGTTTAACTTGTATAACATGATAGCTCTGAAACATGTAGGTTGTAGTTTATACTTTGAGCTTTAACTTTGATATTATCCAATAAAGATCTTGTTTTGTACTAACGTAAATTATGTGTTTCCAAAAATTATGTTAACCCTGAGACACGGGCACAAAGCTTAAAGCCATAGAGAATAGAATGTATAGAGAGGAATTAAAAGAATCTCTCGGTATGAATTTTTTCAGTCCCTTTCAGCCTGAAAGGGAGTTCAAAGTGTACAAATCATGTAAATATTCACAAATGATATGCAGTAGAGTACATTAATACAGTATGTTCCCTAGACTATTCATTTCAATTTCGAAATTTTTAAAGCTGTTAAATAAACTTTATAATGAATAAGGTGAATAATAAACATCATTTGATTTATAGTTATAACGGAAAATCATCGTTTGTAAAGTGGAAGGCATAGAGTCTATGTGAAATGATCATTGGTCAATTATGAAACCATAATTTGGTTTTCTTTTAACAATAATTTTAGATTTTCTATAAAATGATATTCCAGGGCCCAAGAAGGTTATATAGCATAAATATGTGAAGTACACCTGCAGTATGGAAACAGTACAACAAAATGGCCGTTTTCCACTTTTTTCTAGTAAATTCCACTCTATATATTCTATTCTCTATGCTTAAAGCACTCTAAATTTCGTATAATATTCTTACAAACTGACCCACACTAAAGCAAATTTCATTGGACGTTAGCTCCAAAACTAACACTTGGCCCCTTTTAAGCACTGCTGAGTGTTAGAAATGGGCACAAATTGAAAGACTGGGTTTTGGGGATCCCGGCCCATATCCAGAGTAAAAGTCGTTAAACTATGACCAACATTTTATTAAACATGACGAGGACAACATTTCCCAATTTGAAAAAAAATTTAAATCGAAATTATAAAAGTACTTCTTTTTATATTAAATCTTTTGACCGTTTTCAGGAAAATGTCAGGTTTTCCAATTTGGAACATATCATAAATTTGAAACATTGTCGCGTTTTCGAGAGAAAACCCATTTTCCCGTTTTTGAGTATATAAATCACAATTCAAAACAAAAGTCACTTTCATAACTTACAAAATAAATCACTGAAAAAAAAATTATCTTTTGAATACTAAATTAACTTCTAGAACTATTTATTGACTCTAAGTTTCCACATTTTATATGTTAAATTTTCAAACATTTTAAACAAACAGTTTCCCGCATTTCTAGTTAATTCTATATTGTAAGAACAAATTATATTAATTTTTTGATTTCTCAATGCTTTGATGATTTCTAAATTATAAAAGAACAGTATGTTTTTATTTCCTATATTGTTAATATTTTACCCCTTTTCAAAAAAATCTTGTTTTGTTACGCAAGTGCGTAAATACTTTAAAATTGACATTGATATGAATTCCGGTAATTGTCTCAAAACCAGGACATGTTCGGAAAACGCGACATGAGCTGAAATCCGGTATAATTGTTTCAAAATAGGGATATGTTCGAAAATGAAATCAAGAATCAACAAAATCTAATTATCACACTTTATTATTAGTTTAAAATTGGCATTCATTGTTTCAATATATAGTTTTAGCCATTTTTTTTTTATAAATATATGGTGTAATTTTGTTCTACTTGTCTTGGATTTAAAGATATATACTCTTGAAAAAGATAGCTTAGCAAATTTGGTCCATTTCTAACACTCTGTGTTAAAAATGTGCCAAGTGTTAGTTTTTGAACTAATATCCCTTGAACTTAGAAAGTCTTGAGCAAAACAGTTAAATGTAAACACACCGCATATTGAATTCAATCCACTCATTGCACTGTACACTAGGAGCATTTCTCAAAAAACCAAATAACGTAACCACCAGAGGCTATTAAGTAAATTAAGAATAATAATGAGTCCATTGCCAACTCTTTTGATGTACATTAATCATCTCTGGTCTGGTTTTATGCTAAGCACTGGAGCACAATGATAAGCTGTATATAATCTACTCTAATAGTGTAAATGTAAAAGTGTGAGTAAGACTAAGCACTGATAAAAAGCAGCTGGATTCTTTATCTCCAGTATATAGTGTAGGCTAGGAATATACATGACGCACAAACCGGGAATCTAGACTGAGCAAATATATAGATATCTACGTATATATAATTATACGCAATACGCAGTTCTACACACTATATACGCAGATTTTACGCACGATCGTAGGCTCAAATTTTTTGTATAATGATAGCTCTCTAATTATGGTGGGGAATTTTGAGGGAATTTTCATAGTTCCAAAAATAGTTTTTAGTACAATAACGATGATTGGCGGACAAAGGAATTGAGTTTTTGTCACAAACTCAAATTTTCTAATCCCTATATCTTTGAAACTTGAATGTGTAAACTTTTGATATTTCAAACTTAGACTATTTGTTATAACAGAAATCATAGTTTGAAATATCTAAGCTCTACAACATTGGGTTCAGTAGATAAAGGGATTAGAAAAGCAGAGTTTGTGACAAAGACTCAATTCCTTTAGCTGTATATGCAAGTATCGCACCACAATAGTTCTCATGGGTCAGGTAAAAAGGATAAATTGAGACAAAAATCAGGCTTGAGGGAAGTTATTGGTTTATATCTGTGTGTATATTTCTACTAAAATAGGCGTAATTAATCTACAGTGGTAGGCGATAATATCAATAAAATGGAGACGACTTTTTTATTGGTCTTATAATTCCACGGGCAACGCCTGGCACTTCAGCGAGATCAACATAAGACAAGGATTAACATTTTTCGAATAAGTAAAATACGCAATTTAAAATTATTACAGATGTTTTAAAATTATTAAAGATGTTCTAAAACTACTCCATAATTGTAATCTGATGTTTGTACTTAATTAAGACAGGGTTTATTAAAAACAAAAATACGTTTAACTTTTTAAAAAGTTAAGGATTTAAAAGATCTTAATTTTTCATTTAAATTCCAAACACTTTTGCATTTTGAATAAAATTCATGATTCCATAAGACAATTTCTTAGGATATGCAATTTTTATATCTTTTGAGATTTACCATTTTTTATATCTTTTAGCGTGAACAAAATTATATATTTTAGAAATTAACCTTTTCAACTATTATTTAAAGTTTAATCCGTGACAGCCATGACCTGAAAATTAATTTTTGTGATGAACACATTTGTTTTAATATATACAGCAGTTTAGTTTCAGAAACAATCCACGACGTACTTCCTTGATTTCAGAAGATATTTTCTAAAATATTAAATTTTAGATCATTCAAAATACCTTTGTTTCAATACATTATCAGTGAATATTTTGCGTCACATTTCTTTGTTTGATTAAAGGGACTGTAAGCTTTATTTCAAGTGACCATTCACAACGGTACCCTTTTAAGCTTCGTCTGATCAAGTGTGAATTAGATATAGTATAAGTTTGAAAACTAATTATTTTCTATTGATATTTTTCTACAGAAGTGACTTTTGCATTTCTATTGCTGGAAAACATTAATGAATTATCAGGAAAAAAACACTTTTTAAAACAAAGTTAAACGACAATATCTTCCTCATTATTGATCAGATAAAGGTTTCAAAGGTACTGTTAATCTGGCATTTGCAATTTTTATATGGAGGGTCACTTGCAATAACGTTTAATTACAGTCCCTTTAAAGGGACTGTAGACAGAATTTTGCGTGAGCCAATATTGAAAGAGTTGCATTTCAGATTCACAATAGTACCCTTGAAACCATGAGGAACGCATCGTCAGTTTTTTTATCTTTTTTTATATTTTCACAATTTACTTCTTTGTCTCAAACTCAGTAGCATAAATCCGCGAGTTACTTTTACGCAGAAAATAATCAAAATTTTAGCAAATTCTAGCACATTCACCCTTGATCAAACTAAGGGATTACAGTTGTGAATCTTACATAATACTTCAAATTACGTCTACAAAATCCTTAGAGTAAATCCAATTTAAAATTAAAAACTGTTTTGTTTGTTTTTTAATTTTGTGACCATAATTTAAAGAAAACACCACTTTTATGTGGCAATAAAGAGTCAAGAATTCCGAACAGTCATTTCTGAACTATCATTTTTTAGTTGGGAACCCTGTATAGAACTAATATTCGCCATTTCCATGCTATAGTCTTCTGTTTAGTTGGGAACCCTGTATAGAACTAATATTCGCCATTTCCATGCTATAGTCTCTTGTTTAGTTGGGAACCCTGTATAGAACTAATATTCGCCATTTCCATGCTATAGTCTCTTGTTTAGTTGGGAACCCTGTATAGAACTAATATTCGCCATTTCCATGCTATAGTCTCTTGTTTAGTGTGGAACCCTGTATAGAACTAATATTCTCCATTTCCATGCTATAGTCTCCTGTTTAGTTGGGAACCCTGTATAGAACTAATATTGTCCATTTTCATGCTATAGTCTCCTGTTTAGTGGGGAACCCTGTATAGAACTAATATTGTCCATTTTCATGCTATAGTCTTCTGTTCAGTGGGGAACCCTGTATAGAACTAATATTGTCCATTTTCATGCTATAGTCTCCTGTTTAGTGGGGAACCCTGTATATATAATATTGTCCATTTTCATGCTATAGTCTCCTGTTTAGTTCGGAACCCTGTATAGAACTAATATTGTCCATTTTCATGCTATACTAAAGATTCTTTCTAAGAACTCGTACATATTCAAAGACCTTAAAGGGAGTGTTCGCGAAAGGGGGTAAAGGCTTAATGCGATAAAATGCTCTTTTGATCGATACTAATCTTCCTTCTATCTGTTGCGATCATTCAACTCGGATCGTAAACAAATCAATTTAATTCCAAACAAATCATTCAGATATTACAAACAATAGTCATCGATTATTTTTCGACGCATTCGTAAATAGTTGATATTTCATAACATTTCGTATTTTTCATGATCTGAGAGTTACTTTTGAAAACATTTATTCCTGTTTCGAGGATTTTTAATAATGAAGACGACATTTTCACATTTTCCAGGAATGTTCGAAAATCCAGCGCCCGCGAAAATTATTAAAAAAAAAAAAAATCAAATCAGAAAATTCATACTTTTAGACCAAAGTTTTTATTTTTGGGTTTTTTTCCGGAAACTTTTTTTCCTGTGGCTTTCATACATAGATTCATATCATCCTGGGTTGATAAGATATGGTGAAGGGGGATTTGTTTGTGGCAAAGACTCAATTCCTTTATTTAAATGTGAAAAAAGTCTATAAATACATATCCTAAGACCAAATTTAATGAATTTGAGTTGGGTCGCTGAACCACCAACTCTACTACTGGTTTAAATTTGAACCACCAATTCAAAGTTTAAGATTCAAGAAGTGTTTGAATCGGTGGTTCAAATTTGAACCGTCTAAAGGCAGTTCAAATTCACTAAATTTGGTCTCTGGAACCAGATTTATATAACTAATAGCGAGACTTCGTTGAAACGCGTAGACTTAAAGTTGAACCACTTCTCTTTATCTGGACCTGGCGTACAAGATAAGTGGCTGAACTACGTCTACGCGGCTCAACTGTCTCGCTATTCATTAAACCTGGTCCCATTCTATATTAAATAAACACAAACAATATAAATGGCAAAACCTTTAATTTTACTTCCTTTTGTTTGTTTTGCTTGCCACGTGAACCTGTGAAAGTGTGGATGATTTCAATGTACTGTATAGTTTAATTGTGTAGATGTACAACATATGTACATGTTTAAGTTTTTTTTGTACTATTTTTACATTATGAATTTTATGCATGAAATCAATGTATTGTAGCAGTTTATATGTTTTGGTTATGTACAATATGTACTTAATTTAGGCTCTGCAACAACTGTAGCAGCTACTTCAGCAGCTGCTGCTAGTACAACAGCTGCCGCTAGTACAACAGTTGCTTCAAGCACAACAGCTACAGCAGTAGGTCCTGGTACAACTGCCTCTAATGACAAGTACTGTACATTGAACAGTCAGCATACAATGTGCTTATACAAGGTACGAAAAAAACATTTTTAATATATACAGGTTACCCACAAAGAATGATCCTTTAATGACGACCTAGAGCGCTTTAAATATAGAGATTAACAGGTTTCATATGGTCATATTCGTATAACTGCATATTAACCGGGAATGTAAAATAAACATATTGAAAAAATCCATTAATTGAAAAAAATCTTATCCTAGCCTGTCCGGAACAAGCATAAAGCATTAGGAACCCTGATAAGACTTATCAGGGCTAGGGAAATAATCTTTATCCTGTACATTTTTTTTTTTTTGGGGGGGGGTAGGGGGTAGGGTCAGAAGATTGGTAGTAAGGAAAATATTCCCAAAAAAATCAGCAAATAAAGGTGTTTAGGGTCCTTCAGCAGACTGCACTAGTAAGGAAAATATTCCCAAAAAAATCAGCAAATAAAGGTGTTTAGGGTCCTTCAGCAGACTGCACTAGTAAGACAATTTTCCGAACTTTGTCTGAAAATGCTAAAACTTTAATTCTCAACAAGCACAACGAGCTGAGGAGCAAGGTTGCAACAGGACAAGAGGCAAATCAACCTTCAGCTTCAAACATGAACAAGCTTGTGAGTAGTTTTTAAAGTTATGATTTTTCAAAAATATATTTGAGCGTTTTAATTACTTTCAACTTAATTTAAATCTTGTTGTTTGAAAAAAAAATTATTGTAAAAGTCAAAACAAAAATATTGATATAATTAAAAAAAAAGGATTTCAGTTTTTGCCTCAAACTCTGATTTTCTTAATACTGTTTTATCTAGTCTTATATTATTCTGAAAATGTCTTCAGTAAGAATACTTTGATATTTTACAATTAAGAAATCATGAAAACTCCGGGTTATTTGAAGTAACGAAACGATACGTTTCTAGGTTTGTAGTTTCTCCGATACGTTTCTAGGTTTGTAGTTTCGCCGATATGTTTCTAAGATTGTAGTTTTTCCGATACGTTTCTAGGTTTGTAGTTTCTCCGATACGTTTCTAGCTTTGTAGTTTTGCCGATATGTTTCTAAGTTTGTAGTTTTTCCGATACGTTTCTAGGTTTGTAGTTTCTCCTTTACGTTTCTAGGCTTGAAGTTTCTCCGATACATTTAAAGGTTTGAAGTTTTTCTGATACATTTCTATGAATTCTAGTTTTTCCTAAACGTTTCTAGGTTTGTAGATTTTTTCGATACACTTCTAGGTTTGCAGTTTCTCCGATACGTTTCTAGGTTTGTAGTTTCTCTGATTCGTTTCTCTGCTAGTATTTTCTCCTTTACGTTTTTAGTTTTGAAGGTTCTCCGATATGTTTCTAGGTGTGGAATGCCGAGTTAGAGTCTATATCCCAGAGACTAGCTGACCAGTGTATATTTGCTCATGATTCTGTCAGGTAAACTACAGGTTTAACCACTTCAGAGATGACTTTATACATACACTCAGCCTTTTTCATTAAATTCTTGATTCTCTGAAACTACAGGGTGTCCCATTAATTCTGACAATTTTTAAACAGCAATGTAACAAAATATCCGCTTCAAGTATTGCAGAAAAAACACAAATTCAGTTTTTATACACCAGTATTTCGATCAAACGTTTCAAGCGCAATTTCACCTTTCTTTGGTTAGGCGGGTTAGATAAAACTTATTTTGCACGAAGATAGCCAAGAGCTTACTCAGAGTTTTTAAAATTCGTCGATAACCCTCATTTCGTTGAAGAGTTATTACTCTTCAAAGTCAACCCTGCCGAAATACTTCTAACAGTTTTAGTCGATTTTCACATTAGAGGTGAATTATGCATTTTTTTACATTTCTGGGTTTCTGCGGATTTACACTTATTTGTCCAAATTCAATCTTCAAACCAACATTTTAAAGAGTTTTAGGTCGTCATTAAAGTCTCATCCCTTGTGAATAACACTTTTATCATAAAACATCTTTGATTCAGTTCTCAAGGGGAATCTTTAATGGATATACTTGGTTTAGTTTTTCATCAAATATTCAGGGTTAGCCACAAAGCATGAAACTGTAAAGAGACGACCTGAAACTTTTAAATATTACGATATCATGGTTGAATTATAACATCTGCCTTAGATATAGTCTTTTGATGATTGGGCATAGTCAATATTTTATGTTATTATTTTTTAGCCTTTTTTATTAAATACTTTTTTGCCGGCATATACGTTTTGAATAAACAATATAAATCAAACAAATCATGTTTAAAGATTGTTGAATTATAGACAAAACACTCTGGTTTGTCCGGGGTAAATGGTTTACAGTAAAGAATCCCTTAAACATATAATATCATATTATATTAGGAATAAACTGGATGGAACTTCAGTCGGACAAAACCTTTATATTTCCTCCAGCTCTGCACAAGGATCTGAAGCATCTGTTCAGGTTTTTTTTTTCAAACGATATTTGATATATTTTCAGAATTACAGAATAAACCAGAATAAGAGTCGTTTTAGTTCAATTTTAATTATTATCAATGCTAACTGTTTTGTAACATATGTAACTGTTATAGCTTGTAATTGTGGATCTTGAGAGATCTCGATCTTTTGTTAATCTGCAGATTAATTTAATCTTTATGCGATATCCGCAGTATAGTTGCGTAGCTGAAAAGAAGAGATTAAGCATTGATCTTCAAAATAAAAGTGCCCATTGTGGATATCGAGATAAAGCACAAAAGTTCCCAGCTCTTTTCATAAAGAATTGAAAATTATAAAATGTTAACGGCGTTTAAAAAAATGGGAAGAATATCGAATACTATACTTTAAAAGAGTATTTTCAGGGAGGTTCCGCTGGCAGTGTCCAGGCCTGGTATGATGAGGTGACAAACCCTGGCTTTAGCAGCAGTAATATCAGCCCATTTGTGTAAATATAAGTTTGTAAATAGGGATTGTTCAAGTTTTTTAAGTGAACAGCATACAGTGATAACCAGAAAACTAAAGAATAGGATGTCGTCTTTTAGACTCAAGTTATGCATTTGAATAGTCCAACAAATATTAAGCACAGCAATTGTGAAGTGTAAACAGACCCGTTTTCACATAATAGTGATTTAATAATTGGCTATTAAAACTATTAGTTTTGTAACAACCAAGGCTATATAATAGAATGGATATATCATATACTGATGTAATGTTCCGGGCAGTACGTTTGACATTGGACCCTGGACTTTTGTCTTTAATTTTCGTAAAGTTAGTTGGTGTCAAAAGAATATAAAAAACATTGTAAGTTTTTAAAGTTTAGCCTCCTTCTTTGTATCATAAAAATAGTCGGAGATACTAAAGAATTAAACAACCTTGGTAGTATATTTAAAGGGAGTGTTCCCGAAAAATAGAAGGGGGTGTAGGCTTAATGCGATATAAAAACGCTTTTGATCGCTACTAATCTTACTTCTATCTGTTGCGTCTATGAGGAGAAAATTGTTATAGACGTCTCATACCAAATAACTTACAAATTGAGAAAATTGCAGCATACGACTTAGACCGTAAAAAATCAATTGAATTTCAAACAAATCATTCAGATATTACAACCTAAAGTCATCGATTATCTTTCACCACATTTGTATATAGTTTATAATTTTTTATATTTTATTTTTTTTAAACGGATTTCGAAAAATGTGAGTGGTGCGCGGCATTCTTAGATAGTTGCACAAGTGACAAGAGAAATAATCAAATTCAAAACAAATTAATTAAAAAATATTATAAAATATAAACTATATACAAATGTGGTGAACGATTATCGATGACTATAGATTGCAATATCTGAATGATTTGTTTGAAATTAAATAAATTTTTTTACGGTCTAAGTCGTATGTTGCAATTTTCTCAATTTGTATGGACGCCAAGTTATTCGGTATGAGACGTCTTTAACAATTTTCTCCTTATAGACGCAACAGATAGAAGTAAGATTAGTAGCGATCAAAAGAGCTTTTTTATCACATTAAGCATTTTTTCCCAAGCACTCCCTTTAATACTTTTAATTTTAGACTAATTTCACAATATCTTAGTAAATTCTTAAGGTACCAGCAGACCACATTTTGGAAATTTCAAAACAAGGCGCATTTGATGCTACCCAACTTTTGGGAGGCACTGTTATGTTTACAAGATTTTAGCGACAGTATGTCATTTCGCTAACTCCAGGGCCCATGATCTACCAAAGCTCTTCTTAGATTTGGACCCTGAACTTCAATTCAAACTTTTTAAACAAACAAGGTATTTTTATAAAATGAATGACAGCCAGAGTGAAAATTTGTTAGAGTAAAACTTTAAGTACACCATGCACTAAGGCAGAGATTTAAGAAATTTCCCCCAAAAATCTAGGGTCAACTCAGATTCACGGCTGTGAAGCACACCCACAAAAAGTATAGATCGAAAGATAGAGGCATACCTTTAAGCGGGTCGTTGTAACAACATCAAATGCACTTTAGTATTGCTTTAATGTCGTCCTCCTATTCTACAGTTTTCTGGTTAGCACTGTAGATGGATTTTTCTACAACAAAAACTAGTGCCATACCTTGCGTGACCCGAAATATTGGGATCGAAAAGTATGAATTAGATGGGGATAATCTCCATAACCAAATTATCAAAAGTTTTGAATTTAGGGATTGAAATAGTTTGAAATAGTTTGAAATGGGAAGATTGCTTGACTAATATTGTCTTAAACCTTTAATATTTCAAACCTTAAAATCTGTTAGTTCAAATCATTTGAGTTTGGAACACCAGGTTTCAAAGATATAGGGATTGCAAATATTTGAGTTTGTGGCAAAAACTCGGTTTCTTTTAAGGTTTTCATCTGGAGCTGGGCATTATACACAGCTTGTCTGGGCGGAATCTACGGAAATAGGATGCGGTTCCGTTTATTACAAGGTTAGTTCCGTTTATTTTAAGTGGTTTCGTTTATTTTAAGATTTGCACCGTTTATTATATGGATTGTTCCGTTTATTATATGGATTGTTCCGTTTATTATATGGATTGTTCCGTTTATTATATGGATTGTTCCGTTTATTTTAAGATTGGTTCCGTTTATTATAAGTTGGGTTCCGTTTATTTTAAGGTTGGTTACGTTCATTATAATTTTGGTTCCGTTTAAAATTATTGTCAGTTCCGTTCATTATAAGGTTTGGTTCTGTTTATTATAAGTTTGGTTCTGTTAATTATAAGTTTGGTTCCGTTTATTACATGGTTAGTTCTGTTTATTGCATGTTTGGTTACGTTCATTATAATTTTGGTTCCGTTTAAAATTATTGTCAGTTCCGTTTATTATAAGGTTTGGTTCTGTTTATTATAAGGTTCAGTTTATTTCAAGTATGGTTCCGCTTATTGCAAGTTTGTTTCTGTTTATTGCGAGTTTGGTTCTGTTTATTACAAGTTTGGCTCTGTTAATTATAAGTTTGGTTCCGTTTATTACAAGGTTAGTTCTGTTTATTGCATGTTTGGTTCCGTTTATTACAAGTTTGGTTCTCTTTATTGCAAGTTTGGTTCTGTTTATTACAATTTTGGTTCCGTTTATTGCAAGTTTGGTTCTGTTTATTGCAAGTTTGGTTCTGTTTATTGCAAGTTTGGTTCTGTTTATTGCTAATTTGGTTCTGTTAATCATAAGGTAGGTTCTGTCAATTGTAAGTTTGGTTCTGTTTATGTTAAGCTTGATACTGTTTATTATAAGTTTGGTTCTGTTTATTATAAGTTTGGTTCTGTTTATTATGAGGTTGGTTCTGTTTATTATAAGGTTGGTTCTGTTTATTATAAGGTTGGTTCTGTTTATTACAAGTTTGGTTCCGTTTATTGCAAGTTTGGCTCTGTTTATTATAAGGTTGCAGGTTCTGTTAATTGTAAGGTTGGTTCTGTCAGTTATAAGTTTGGTTCCGTTTGGTTCTCTTTATTGCACATTTTGTTCTGTTTATTACAATTTGTGTTCCGTTTATTGCAAGTTTGGTTCTGTTCATCATAAGGTTGGTTCTGTTAATTGTAAGTTTGGTTCTATTTATTATAAGTTTGGTTCTGTTTATTATAAGTTTGGTTCTGTTTATTATAAGGTTGGTTCTGTTTATTACAAGGTTAGTTCCGTTTATTGCAAGTTTGGTTCTGTTTATTACAAGTTTGGTTCCGTTTATTGCAAGTTTGGTTCTGTTAATTGTAAGTTTGGTTCTGTTTATTATAAGGTTGGTTCTGTTAATTATAAGTTTGGTTCTGTTTATTACAAGGTTGGTTCTGTTAATTTTAAGTTTGGTTCTGTTTATTATAAAGTTGGTTCCGTTTATTATAAGTTTGGTTCTGTTAATTATAAGGTTGGTTATGTTAATTGTAAGTTAGGTTCTGTTTATTATAAGGTTGGTTCCGTTTATTATAAGTTTTTTTTCTGTTTATTATAAGTTTGGGTCTGTTATTATAAGTTTGGTTCTGTTTATTATAAGGTTGGTTCTGTTTATTATAAGGTTGGTTCTGTTTATTATAAGGTTGGTTCTGTTTATCACAAGTTCGGTTCCGTTTATTGCAAGTTTGGCTCTGTTTATTTTAAGGTTGCAGGTTCTGTTAATTGTAAGGTTGGTTCTGTTAGTCATAAGTTTGGTTCCGTTTATTACAAGGTTAGTTCCGTTTATTGCAAGTTTGGTTCTGTTTATTATAAGGTTTCAGGTTTTGTTAATTGTAAGTTGGGTTCTGTTAATTATAAGTTTGGTTCTGTTAATTATAAGGTTGGTTCTGTTAATTGTAAGTTTGGTTCTGTTCATTAAAAGGTCGGTTTCGTTTATTACAAGGGTGGTTCCGTTTATTACAAATTTGGTTCCGTTTATTGCAAGTTTGTTTCTGTTTATTACAAGGTTGGTTCTGTTAATTATAAGTTTGGTTCTGTTAATTATAATTTTGGTTCTGTTAATTATAAGTTTGGTTCTGTTAATTATAAGTTCGGTTCTGTTAATTACATGTTTGGTTCTGTTTATTACAAGTTTGGTTCCGTTTATTGCAAGTTTGGTTCTGTTAATTATAAGGTTGGTTCTGTTAATTATAAGTTTGGTTCTGTTTATTATAAGGTTAGTTATGTTAATTATAAGTTTGGTTCTGTTCATTATAAGGTTGGTTCCGTTTATTGCAATTTTGGTTCCGTTTATTGTAAGTTTGGTTCCGTTTATTACAAGTTTGGTTCCGTTTATTGGAAGTTTGGTTCTGTTTATTATAAGGTTGGTTCTGTTAAATAAAAGTTTGGTTCTTTTAATTATAAGTTTGGTTCCGTTTATTAAAAGGTTGATTCTGTTCATTAAAAGGTTGGTTTCGATTATTAAAAGGTTAGTTCCATTTACTATGAGATTGGTTCCGTAAATTATAAGGTTGGGTCCATTTATTAAAAGGTTTGTTCAGTTTAATATTACTTAATTTTCCTAAAACAATATTTCTATGTTAAAGATGTTCACAGATGTTTTTATCTAATTAAAATAAATAATGACAGACAAGTAAGAAAGCTAGAATGCAATTAATGTCTTGAGTAATTAAACTATATATTTATATTTCGAATCCATCATTTAATGTCAGAATATAACTAGAATACCAGCTTTTCTGCTATTTCAGAAATTATAATTTGCCCTTAAACTAAAAAAATATAGATATTAGAAAAAAAACTATCTCTTTCAACACAGAAATTTTGATATCGATAATAATAATATATAAACTGTAGTTTGATCATATTTACTGGATTTATTTTGATATCGATAATAATAATATATAAACTGTAGTTAGATCATATTCACTGGATTTATTTTGATATCGATAGTAATAATATGTAAACTGTAGTTAGATCATATTTACTGGATTTATGTATTTCATTGCTGGGAATTGAACACTCGCCACAAACTATAATTTTCTGATAAACACATCTTATAAGCATCCTAAGGAAAAAACCTTTGAAATTTTAAACTTTGACTAGTTAATTTAGTAAAATTCATGATATAGAAGACATAGGATATCAGGTTGAAAAGAGTTTGTTGCCAGTGTACAGTTCCTTTATAGGATAAATCTTGGTACATGTTAATATTTTAGAATTGATATTGTCAAATACAATATGGATCGTGTGTTGTAAACAATGTATATTGTACAATGAAACCCATGAAACTGGATTAGGAAGAAATCTAATGTTTATTATAATTGATGTATTTATGTATTTTAAAGCAAATCATTTTAACATAATCTTGAAAATTAACTTATGGAGTTAATGAAAAATGGAACTGGTGCACTGCATAATAGCTGTGTGTGAAATTCATTGGACTTTTTAAACCATAACGTTAGTCTTACAAATGTTTCCATACTTGTATGGGTTTCACTGTAAATATAATAACTATTCTAGGATGGAGTATGGTACAGGAATCTGATAGTTTGTAACTATGCCGTTGCTGGAAATCTTATTGGTGGATCCATGTACAAACAAGGTAAGGTGTACACTGTACACTGTACAACCATATCAAAGAATAATTCCCTTTTTTAATTTAGGAGCTGTATGTAGTGCTTGCCCTGCTGGAACTTCTTGTACACCTTCTGAGGGTTTATGTACAAAGTAATATATACGCTGCAGTACAGTACTGTACAGCAAACATGTTTTGAAACCATGGCAAACAAAGATATGGATTAAAATGACTTGTCAGATATTTATGTATTATATTATAACAGAATAAAAGTTTAATTTTAACTATTTATTCTTAGTTTTGTACCATGTAAAGTTGTAATGCAAGAAAAGTTAATTGCTGTCGCGTATACTCTGCGTACATTTTGAAACCAGTTCTCTCTGGGCGGAATTTGTAAACAAGAATAGATGCATCAGTGTTCGTTTAGTATCCGAGGAGGTTAAAAGCATTAAATTTTGATAATTTTGATAATTCACATAATAGTTTCCTATGACCAGATTATTTAATTGATTTTTTTATGTTAAAGATGGATCCCATGTCAGGCTTCGACATCCGTCTTGTGTTTACATTAGCGCCCAGAGACAGTACACTGCAGTACAAAAGATGTGTACACTTCTGAAATAACTTTCCTTACATTACATCCTTGGTGAAGGGGAGGTTGGGAGGGATGATATTAATAAGAATTAAAGATGACAAAAGTTATTATAAATAATTTTTAATGAAATATTGAAACACTCATCTATATATAAATAGTAGTTATCTCTGTTTATTTGTTTATGTATAACTCATGAACCCCTGGACCGATTTGCCTCAAATTTTGATTGGGGAACTCGGGAGAATCACAGAAATGTTTTGAGCTTGGGTTTGAGATTCTATAAGTAGATGGGTGAGTCGATTGTTATAAGGGGAAATAGCTAAAACAGTAAATTAAGACCAAGCGCGGGTAAACGTAGGTAGTAACTATGAGCAACATGGGCAACGCTGGGTTTCCAGGCTAGTCTTAAATTTGTAAGTTTAAACTTCTTATTTGTTTCTTATATCTTGCTTGATAAGCAAGGTTTAACATTTCAGCTGATAAAGTTATATGAGCAGTATGAGTGCAGATACGTTTAATACATTCTTGATACAATAAACAGATTGGACTAAGACCAGTTGCAATGTGGGAAATTCGTTAGACGTAATTTGAAACAAACTCTTTCAATAAACTTTAATAAAAATGATTTATCCTTGTTTTCAGTCTAAAAACTAATAATTTCAATAGCAATTCTCTTAAAAAGTGACGTGTGGATATATGCTGCAGCGACAAGGTAGTAAATTGATAGAATATGCATGACCTCTAGGTTAGAATCTACCAGACTAAGAATATTACCGTGGTTACAAACATATATTACTACTATTTCTATTTAAATATATAAAGAACTATCGGTAAAAGGCAATTCTTATAAAGTTTTAAATCAATAATGAATGGATTCCCCGTTATGATTTGTGAACATTTTTCGCTGTGTATGCAGTAAATCTTTGAATTTTTTACGCAAAACACGATACTTACTATTGTTTCCTATCTGTAAAGTCTGTGATTTTTAAGATTTATGAAAACATTGCTTAGCTTTACTTAACTCCTGCACCTATACTTCTCACTTATCAGTAGCAACATGGAGTTCCCATACGTTAGCACAACAATCTTAATCAAAAGGAAATGAAACTGGACTGCAGTGAAAAATAAGAAATTTAAATAAATGTTTTAAAGTTTAAATCCGTACTATAAGTAAGTTATTTAGATCTCCGGTTTTTTAAGCACGCCAAACCACATAAGACAGACCACATTTTGAAAATAGTACTACAGAGTGTCTCAATAAACATAGGAATTAAGATGCGACTTGAAATTCTTCTTTGATTTCCGATAGTTGATAAATAACAAGAACAGTGCAGCATCAAAGTAAACATTTGAATAATTTGATTACTTAATTAATTAGGCTTCCAGGCTGCTTCAAGCCCATCTTCTTTTATCGATTTTTTTTCGGGGAATAATAATGAATATCCAACCCCCATTTTAAATTATTTAAATTAGCACATATGCATTATGCAGTCCAGACTCATTCTCTAGTCATAGGTAGAGGCTAGAGAGGAACCACGAGAACTCGGGCTTGAAAATATGGATCCGAAAGATGAGATGAATTAATGATTGCTAGATTACTCAAAAACACACTTAAAAAATTACAACATATCACTTTTAGAAGTTATGCAGACACGATCAGTATTTCTACTTTCACTCTTAAAATTTCTACATGGACTATGAGAATTTCTGTCTACATTATTAGTATTTCTTCAGGCACTATAAGTATTTTTAAAGGCACTCTTAGAATGTCTATACGTGTACATATAAAATTACTACATGAACTGTTAGAATTCCTTTCTACACTATTAGAATTATTTCACGTTCTCATAGAATTTCCGCGTGTACATGAAAAATGTCTACATTAAGTGCTAGAATTTCTATTTACACAATTAGAATTATTTCAGGTACTACTTGACTCTCTATCTGTGCTCTTAAAGGGAATGACCGGCTATGTAAGGTAGTTGAACTGAGTACGCAGTGTTGTGGAAAGCTTTTTTCGGATTCATTTGAGGCTTATTAAACTTTTTAAAGATTTGTAAATCCTGAGTTTTAGCGCAAATTCGACGTTTAAAACTTCTACTTTGGGGGTGAATACGTTTACAGAATCGGTTTTTTTAAATTACTATAAAACGACGACGAAAAATAAAGTAAAAATCATACAGTAATCTAATTAGATAGTTGGGAACATATTTCTCAAAAGAAATTTATCAATAAATCAATGCTAGAATCAATTATTTCGTTTTCATTTTTATATTGAATTTCTTATTTCTTTGAATTTATTCGCAGATTTCTTAAAATTCTTCAAATGTCGTCTTTTCAATAATAATTCTAGAAAATCTGCAGAAAATGTTTGTGAATAATGAGGACTAGAATAATGAGAAAATAGAAAAAAATAATTGAACAAGATTACTTATTTTCGATGATAAGATTAATTTTTATTAGCATAACCGGTTTCGGAACAACTTATTAGTTTACTGTAGAGTTTTGTTTATATTTTATGTCGTCGTTATTTGGTAATTGAAAAAAAAACTAATTCTGAAAACGTATCCACCCCCAAAGTAGGAGTTTTGAACGTCGAATTTGCGCTCAAACTCAGGATTTACATATCTTTAAAAAGTTTTATGTGTCTCAAATGAACCAGAAAGAAGTTTTCCACAACACTGCAACTCAATTCAACTACCTTACATAGCCGGTCACTCCCTTTAAAATTTTTACATTACTGTATGCATACATACAATCTTACAATCTTAAAAATTCTATATACACACACCCTGACACCGCCGTTGGTTATCATATTGTTTTCGTGCTTTCTTTATTTATTTCTTACTTTTACTGACAAGATACCCTTGTTTACTTTAAATGTAAACAACGCGTAAGATCCTAAAATCTTGGTTGACAACCCAAGCAGGCGTGGTTCCTCTTAAAGGGACTGTCAACGTATTTTCGAGTCTCCTCCATCAAAAGAGTAACTTGCCTGATTCACAACGGAAGCTTTGTCTGACCGAAAAAATAGAGATTTCCTGAATATCAATTTTAAATTGTGATTTATTAATAAAAAGTGGCTGTACAAGGAATCGAGCATGTAACTCTGTAAATAAAGGGTCACTTTAAATTGTGTCGACAGTCCCTTTAATGTTCTACCTTCCACCCTCCTGCAGTCTTGGTCTCCAAGTTCTCTTCTATCTTCTTCTTCTTCTCGTCACCATGTTTTGTCTGTACAATATATTGAAACAACAAAACAATAAGATTTCTGAGCTAGAAGAAAAGCTGAGAGAAAATGAACTCAAATATAAGGAAGTAATCAAATCTGCTGCTGAGTTAGAGATCACAACTGAAAACCTAAAGAAGGAAACCGAAGAGATAAATAATTTAAAAGATGTCCTTGAAATGGAAACCGCTCTAATGAGGATTACCAATGAAAATCTGGAGACTGAGAATGCAGTAATTACAAGTCTAAATCTGACAGTGGAACAGGATATAACTAAGATGTTAGATACATTTGAACAGATGGAGCAGGAAAGGCAGCAGATGAAAGGGGTTTTAGAGAAGGCTGAAAAAGAAAAGAATGCGATTCTTAAACATCTTGAGAAGCAAGTGAATTGTTCCGTCTGTCTTTGCTCCCCAAGGACGGCTAGAATTCCAGTTTGCAGGAATGGGCACACCACTTGTGACACTTGTACAAGGTATTTGAGATTATCTTTATTATGATGCATGTCGCTTGTTGTACAATATAATGTACAGTAGGATGTGTCATGTGAATTGAAAGTTATTGAAACAATATGGAAGAAACACATTTTAAGCCTAAAAAAGTCATACTTAGTCATAAAAGTCCTATACTTTTTGTATGCTCCTTTATATCTAAACATAACCTTGAAACTTGGTAACAAAAGTATTTTTTAAACATATATTGCAGCGAAAACAAAAAACAGCGGCATGATTGCTATCTTCTAAGGGTAATATTCTTTAAAATGTTCACAAAATTTTTATTTTTTTGTCCATGGGTTGATTATGAGCATGCATAACTTTTTGATCTGGTATTGCTATTCAATTGCAATTCTGTTTTTAGAGACACCTGTCCCATGTGTAGAGTGAGAATGGAACCTGGGATGTTTTCTCCACTAGCTCTGAGTATTACAGACCTACTGGAGTATCCTTGTACCAACCTGGAGAAGGGTTGCCAGGTTAGAATTTTGAGCTATACTTGTAAAACTATTTGCGCTATAACAACTTCAAATACCCATACGATTTCTTAAATGTCGTCTTTATATTCCATAGATGTATGCGTCTCCCTGTACGTTACATGCACAACCATCAAAGGATACGATATTGGAAACGAGTAGGACCTAATTCAGTTTTATTGCTAGACCTCTTGGATCCCTGAAATTGTTTTAAATATTTCTTCTTTGCTACATCGTCATTAGATAGTTTATAAATTATTCATAAGATACCCTAAACACTAAATTATTTGAATCTTACTCTTTTTTGTACAATCTTTTTTTTCGCTCCAATTGTTAACTTGTTTCTCAACCATTTCAAGACAGATTACCAAATTAGAACTTGAAATTATAATACCACAAAAAATGACAATTGATGAATAGTTTTAAATGTCTTCTTCCATATACTGTCTATTTATTGAAGACTTTTTGCAGTTTATTTCTAAATTTGATTTTAAATAAATATAATAAATGTAATATACACCCTACCTTATTGCCAGGTTAGGCTGAAGAAGGTTGATATAAGCGAGCACGAGGCTGAGTGTTGGTATAGAGAGATACAGTGCCCGGACTGTGGTGAAATGATCCAAGAGGAGATCTTGTCAGATCATTATATTTCTTTTCATACAGAATTTAACGACTAAATGACAATACACCGTTCCAACTTCTTACCGGAAACATTTAACAGATTGTTAGTTATTTATAAATTTGTCTGCATATGTCCCTAGTATTCTATTCATAATTCAGAAAAAAATGTTCGTATTTTTTTTTGTAATTAGATAATAGGAACAAAATGTATTTTTTTTTCTTAATTCTTAGGTTTAGGCCTTAATTCTTGGGTAGAATCTTGTTTTCTGTAGTCCTACTTATTTAATATCGTCTTATTTATTTTCGGTTGACACCTTTATTAATGTCGTCTTATTTATTTTCTGTGGACCACTTTATTCATGTCGTCTTATTTATTTTCTGTGGACCCCTTTATTAATGTCATCTTATTTATTTTCTGTGGATCACTTTATTCATGACGTCTTATTTATTTTCTGTGGACCACTTTATTTATGTCGTCTTATTTATTTTCTAAGGACCACTTTATTCATGTCGTCTTATTTATTTCTGTAGACCGCTTTATTCATGTCGTTTTATTTATTTTCTATAGACCACTTTATTAATGTCATCTTATTTATTTTATGTGGACCCTTTTATTAATGTCGTCTTATTTATTTTCTGTGGATCACTTTATTCATGTCGTCTTATTTATTTTCTGTGGACCACTTTATTCATGTCGTCTTATTTATTTTCTAAGGACCACTTTATTATTGTCGTCTTATTTATTTTCTGTGGACCACTTTATTCATGTAGTCTTATTTATTTTCTGTAGATCGCTTTATTAATGTCGTCTTAATTATTTTCTGCGAACCACTTTATTCATGTTGTCTTATTTATTTTCTGTGGACCACTTTATTCATGTCGTCTCGTTTATTTTCTGTAGACCACTTTATTCATGTCATCTTAATTATTTTCTGTGGACCACTTTATTCATATTGTCTTATTTATTTTCTGTGGACCACTTTATTCATGTTGTCTCGTTTATTTTCTGTAGACCACTTTATTAATGTCGCCTTATTTATTTTCTGTGAACTACTTTATTAATGTCGTCTTATTTATTTTCTGTGGACCACTTTATTCATGTCATCTTATTTATTTTCTGTGGACCACGGTATTCATGTCGTCTTATTTATTTTCTGTAGACCGCTTTATTCATGTCGTTTTATTTATTTTCTATAGACCACTTTATTAATGTCGTCTTATTTATTTTCTGTGAACCAAATATTATTACTGTCGTCTTATTTATTTTCTGTAGACCACTTTATTAATGTCATCTTATTTATTTTCTGTGGACCAATTCATTAATGTCGTCTTATTTGTTTTCTGTGGACCACTTTATTTATGTCGTCTTATTTATTTCCTGTGGACCACTTTATTCATGTCGTCTTATTTATTTTCTGTGGACCAATTTATTCATGTCGTCTTATTTGTTTTCTGTGGACCACTTTATTTATGTCGTCTTATTTATTTCCTGTGGACCACTTTAATCATGTCGTCTTATTTATTTTCTGTAGACCGCTTTATTAATGTCGTCTTATTTATTTTCTGTAGACCACTTTATTAATTTTGTCTTATTTATTTTCTGTAGACCACTTTATTAATGTCGTCTTATTTATTTCCTGTAGACCACTTTATTCATGTCGTCTTATTTATTTTCTGTAGACCGCTTTATTAATGTCGTCTTATTTATTTTATGTAGGCCACTTTATTAATGTCGTCTTATTTATTTTCTGTAGACCACTTTATTAATGTCGTCTTATTTATTTTCTGTAAACCACTTTATTAAGGTCGTCTTATTTATTTTCTGTGGAGCACTTTGTTTCATATTGTCATATTATTTATAGCTAATTAAATCATTAAATTATGTTTTCCCTATGAAATGAACGTTGCCTTAAAATAATCACGTATACAACCACTAGGCTACTACAAGTTTAAGAGATGTGTGTTTCGACACTTTTTTGAAATTTTGAATTTTTCTCTGATTAGTTACCTTTATTGGATAAACGGTTTGACATTTTTTGGAAAGGGAAGATGTCTCAAACTTGTTTTGTAAGCAAAGTAAAGAATATAGAAAAGTACAATGAAAAAATATAGGAATCAGATATTATGTTATTTTCGTCAATACAGGGAGAAGCTGAAAAGTTGTTATTTCATAATTTAAATGAATAAAACAAGTTTAAAAATTAAAAAAAAAATATGTCAGTCCATGACAAAAAATCTGCCAGTTTAGTTTTTTATAAATTCGACTGCAATATTATTAAAGCATTAGAGTATACTACTGTGGCTGTACAATATGACTAGTAAATCCGACTGTAAACTGATTATGATAAGGTTTAACTCCTGTTAATATGACTAGTGAATCAGACTGTAAACTGATTATAAGAAGGTTCAACTCCTGTTAATGATTAGTGAATCAGACTGTAAACTGATTATAAGAAGGTTTAACTCCTGTTAATATGACTAGTGAATCAGACTGTAAACTGATTTGAGTTAGGTTCACTCAATTATATTATGGATAATGTTTAGGCTGTGATCTGATTATAATAAGGTTTAACTCCTGTTTTTATGACTAGCGAATCCGACTGTAGTCTGAATAATAAGGTTTAGCTCTCGTTTATTTATGACTAGTGAATCCGGCTGTAATCTGATTATAATAATTGGTTCAACTCATGTATAGTATTACTAATGAATCCGACTGAAAACTGATTATAATATAAGGTTCACTCCTGCATATTATGACTAGTGAATCAGACTTCAGGTTCAACTTCAGTATATTATGACTTGTTATTTTGGCTGTAATCTGATTCTTATAAGGTTCAACTAGTGTATATTATGGCTAGTGAATCCGCCTGTAATCTGATTAATTATGGTTTAACTCCAGTATATTATGGCTAGTGAATCCGGCTGTAATCTGATTATATAAGGTTCAACTCCAGTATATTATGGCTAGTGAATCCGGCTGTAATCTGATTATAATAAGGTTCAGCTATTGTATGCAAACTATAGGTGATAGGGTAGTAGTATCCTGTATAGATATAAGCATATGTAACTTATTCAATACATGTTCTTTCCCCCTCCCTTCTCCTTCCGATTCTTACTTGTTCATTGTAAAATATAATTTACATACAGAGTGTCCCACTAAACATGACTTATTTCAAAAATGACAGATAACGACATTTCCAAAATGTGTTCTGCCTTTTTCCGAATTAAAGGAGACATAAGTAATTTAGTTTAGCATTCAATTGATTACAGAGAAGAAAAACTGTATAAAAATCAAGATTTTTGTTATTTTTGTCTAAGAATTTTGACAGTATCAAATTTAGTTTTTCAAATTATGCAAACTTTTTTATGGAAACACTATGAGTAAGAAACTATCGAAGATTAATTGCGAAGTCGTTTCTTAGTTGTCATGTTTGATGAGAATTACCCTGCACATTACAAAATAAAAATAAACTATAAAGGAATTTTAATCATTAAACAACTGTAATTTAGTTTAAGTTTGTTCATTTTCTTACACAAACTACTTTCCTAAGAAGCTATAAAAAAAGAAAAAAACATTTTTAAATCTTAATATGCAAAGCAAACACATATGTCGTTCTTTCGTACCATTAATTCAGGACATAATGAACTTCTTCCTTGCGTTGAGATGAGAGTTACATGGCCGGGTTGAAATCAGATCTTATTTTAATTCAATGAGTTACATTTTAATCAAAAAGTGCGTTTTGTGCTTCCGAATTCGTTATAACTTCAAATAACCTCCCAGCCCGATTCACAATAACACCCTTTAAAACTTTTCTCAGGTAAAAGTTGTGGAAGATATTGTTTTTTTTCTACTACAATCCACTCTATGAATAAAGAGTCACTAGAAGATACGTCACTCCCTTCCTTGGAAAATAATGATAACAAGTATTTTCAATATGTTAATAGAAGATATTAAAGGGTTAACAACATATACTATATCACATTTTAGGGCATTCATTCATTCATTCATTTATTCATTATACACTTATCCCAGATCAAAGGAATATTGTTTTTTCTTCCAAATTCCTTTGAATAAACTGTTGAGTTTAAATTTTCTCTCGGTAGAGTCAGCAATTAGTTTGGCCACGGAGTCTTCTTCTATTGCACCATCTGAAAGAAAAAATATAAATATTTTTTTGTGTATTTGTCACCGAACAGAGTTTCTTTTGTTAGTCTAAAAGATAACTTTGAACAGAGCAAATCTTATTTGTAGGACTAAGATTGAAAATTGAATAAATTCAAGAATTTTAAATCCTCGATTTTGCCTTTTTAATGTGATTTTCATTTTAAATACTAGGAAAAAAATAAAAATATTATTATGATTTGATTTTTTATAGATAATATAAAAATTAATTAGTTTTGATTGGTTCAGACATAACTGACATGTTCCTCAAATATGTCCAGGGGCCAGATTTAATAAATATCGAGAAGTAGAAGTTTTTATGAGTTTAACAAGCAAACCATCTCTAAAATAGAAAGCTTGATTTCGTCTATTTAAGAAAAATCAAATAGTAAGCATAAAGGGAGGGTTCGCTAAAAATTAAAGGGGGTAAAGGTTTACGTCGAAAAATATTCGATGTTGATCTTTTCTAATCTTACTTATATCTGTTGCGTCTATAAGAAGAAAATTGTTAAAAACGACTCATACCGTGATGTACACAACCGGCAACTCAATTAATAAATAGGGAGATCGGTTGTGTAAATCTGAGGTAAGCTTTACCTCTTCGTTTCCTTTTCCTATGTTCCGTACAAATCCATAAGGTTGCAATATTCGACTCGGACCGTAAAAAATTCAAACAAATCATTCAGATATTACAACCTATAATCATCGATATTTGTTCTGTTGAATTTTCAACTCAACATTACTAAGACTTCGAAACTTCGCTTAAGCGACCGAGCCTTATTTGACTAAATAAAATAGAATAAAAAGTTTATGGTGTAAACTAAATATTGCTGACCCCTCCCCCCCCCCCAAGATACACCACAGTGCCCCCTCCTTCTCAAAGGCTAAAAACTATTGAACTACAGTCATAACCGGAAAACTCTGAAAGAAGAAGACGACTTTCAGACCCAAGTTATGACTTTAAATAGTCCAATAAGCATGGGACACAGAAATTGATAAGTATAAGCAGACCCATTTTACTTAATCAGTGATTTAAGTGTCTAGTAAAACTATTTGCTTTGTAGCAACACCAAATACACTCCAGTATTGCTGAACGTCGTCTTCCTATTACGTAGTTTTCTGGTTATTACTGTATAACTAAACGATTCTGTATAAGGATGAATTTAATTAACTGATTAAGAATCTGTATAATGAAGAAACATGATACAGAACTGAGTGGGAGTCAGACCAAGTTTCCCACAGAATAGTTCTAAAATTTGCGTCCATCCATTTTTTTACAGGGTGAAACATGAATGATGAGACTGTGAATGCACAGGTTTGAATTTATCTTACTGTTACATGTTTCGTTGGTCAGATTTATTGTCACAATAATGTTTTACCAAATGTAAAATGATATGTAGGTTATACAAACGACCAACTAGACCTTCGAACTTCCAATTCGTCAATAAAAACTCATCTTCAAAGGGCTCAAAAAATTCTGAAGGATCGGGAAAGCCGTTTTGACGTTCATTTTATACTAACAAACAAACAGACAGATTGTGGTTTCTCTGAAAACCTTTATCTTCTCTGGTTTGGAAGAGAACTTGATGATTCTGTAAACCTTTTTCTTCTCTGGTTTAGAAGATAAATTGAAGGTTCTGTAAACCTTCATCTTCTCTGGTTTAGAAGAGAACTTGAAGGTTCTGTAAACCTTCATCTTCTCTGGTTTATAAGAGAACTTGAACGTTCTTAAAACCTTCATCTTCTCTGGTTTAGAAGAGAACTTGAAGGTTCTGTAAACCTTCATCTACTCTGGTTTAGAATAGAACTTGAAGGTTCTGTAAACCTTCATCTAATCTGGTTTAGAAGAGAACTTGAAGGTTCTGTAAACCTTCATCTTCTCTGGTTTAGAAGAAAACTTGAAGGTTCTGTAAACCTTTATTTTCTCTGGTTTGGAAGTGAACTTGAAGGTTCTGTAAACCTTCATCTACTCTGGTTTAGAAGAGAACTTGAAGGTTCTGTAAACCTTTATACTCTCTGGTTTGGAAGTGAACTTGAAGGTTCTGTAAACCTTCATCTACTCTGGTTTAGAAGAGAACTTGAAGGTTATGAGTTTGCTCTTAAATACACTACAAACTCTAGTTTACGTGGGAATTAACCTAAATGTATGTTTTAACATAATTCAAGGATATTTAGATATAATTAAAGATAATAAATTTTAACTGGGCTTCCTGGGTTAACAAAAAAGAAGGAGACTTTAATAACGACCTCAAAATATTAGAAAATTAACATTTAATTTAGTCTTTTGCGACAGATGAACTGAACATTCTCCTCAAAACTAAAATTGTCTAATCCTAATATTTTTGCAACCTGATTCTGTGATCCCTGTGCAGTTCAACTTTGACTATCTGATTAAGCGGAATTCACGTCATTAGAACACAAAAGATATTGAGATTTAAAAGTGAGTTTGATAAGATCCTCTATTCTTTACAGCTCATAAATGATGTTTTAAAGACACAAGATAAGTAAAAAGTTTTAATGGGAATGAATAAAATTAATTTTATTTATTTTTGTCCTATTTTTTAGTAACCCTGTAGTACCAGGTAATTTTCTTAAACAGCCTGTGAATTTGCAGTGCACAGCGATTGTTGTTCATTACCATAATTCAAATTTAGATAAACAATCTGTAATTATATGAAAGAACTAATTAGCTGCATTCTTCTCAAAAATATCTATTTTTTAATCTTTAAGCCAAGTCCTTGCTGTAGCAGTTTAAACAAGGACATTCATCGTCGCATGATCATATAAAATCATCATTTATAGTATTTTTCGGAATTTTGAATTTTCAAATCAAGCGCAATTTAAAATATACGGAGAGTCCCAATAAACATGGGAATTGTGAAAAGACTTAAAATTAGTCTATTTTCTCTGATAGCCGATGAAAGATGACTTGAAGTGTTTCGCAAAGCAAATTAAATTCTCGACAAAACTGCGTTAGTTTTGAAGGTTCAAAAAGTCAGACCAAATTTTAAAAATCCCAAGACTTGTAGTTTTAATATTAACTATTTTGGCTAAACCTGTGTTCACGAAAAGATCAAAGACGATGTTAAAGTTTTCTCTTAAATTCCATATTTATTTGGACACCATTTATATAAAGTTTAACAATTACATGTAGCCGTTCTTTAACCGTCAAACACTTCTTGGTCATTTAACAGTTCTTAATTTGGTTTATGCAGTCCAAATAATGAAATATAGATTTAATAAATATGTCTTTGCAAAGTAACTGTAAAATGTAAAATTGATTTATAAATTAAGGATTTAAAAATATATTAAAGGGGGTTTACAGGATAGATCTAGGGCCTGGGGGGGGGGGGGGGAAGCAAAATGAATTATTTACCTCTTTTTGCGTGCATACTTGTGGAGCGCTGAACCTGGTCCGACCTTCCTTCCTTTCTTCCCTCTCTCTCTCCCCACCCCGTCCTGTCTCCTCTCCAATCCTTCTCATCCTCATCCTGAAGGTTCTCAACAGATTGTATACGCCGTCCACTTAAAAATTTGATCTCCGCCGTTTCTGGCGGAGGTTTTAGTTTGGCTGCCACCGGAGGAGGGGGCGGAGCATCCCGATTCTTCCTTGGTCTGTCTCCGCTAGGAGTCTTTTCTATATCCGGAGTTTTAGGAGAGGATTTGGACGGAACAGGAGCTTTTGCCTTTTTAGCTCCGGAGGCGGTTTTAGAGGGCGGAGTCGGCGGAGTGAAGGATGGTGGTTTTTCATTCCAACCGGATATCCTTCCCTCCGAGATGAGTTTCTTTAACATGATCAAATCATCATCTCCGTCCTTGTCGGGGACCAGGAGATCTTTTAGCTCTTCTTTCACAGAATCCATTCCAGACTTTCTCCCGGGTTTCGGTTTGTTTTCTGTCGGGACGGATGTCTTTTCATCTCCCTTAACTTCGATTCGTTGCACGAAGGTTTTTGGAGAATCGGCAGCTGCTCCCTCCGGAGGAATTCGCTCCTCTCGTGGGGACGATTTTCTTCCCTGGTCCGGAGGAGATTTTCCTCCAATTGCCGGAGGATATTTTTCTCCAAGAGTCGGAGGAGATTTTCTTTTCTGGGATGGAGATGATTTACTCTTTGTTTTAGGAGGAGAGGAGTTCATCTCTCTAGTTGATAGGACTTTAGAGACTTTGTTTTCAGATTTAGTCTCCTCCGATACGGAGGCATCAACATCTCTCCCTGGAGAGCTACGATGTCTCTCTCTCGGAGGCGTACTAAACTCCTCCGTCGAAGTAATTTTTCTTCTTGTTTTGGGTAAGAACTCCTCCCTGGATCTGTATTCAACTTCATTTAGTGAGGGAAGGTTTGTGGTTGACTGAGACATTCTTCTCCTGGTAGCACTATCTTTTGATTTTGTGGATTTAGACTTTTTGTCGCTGATCATGTGATAGTCGAAACTTGCGACTGAACTTTCGACCGACCAATTAGACGTGTGACTGTTCACAGTCCCACTTTTAAACGATTTCTGTGTCGAGTGCTGTGTATAGGAATGAGTGTGATCAAGGTTGGATCCGGAGAACATGGAATCCACGTCGGAGAATGGACTGATGGATTCCGTATCCTTCACCGGAGGAAGGTTTCTATGAAAATCTTCAATAAGTTTATCCATTGAGGACTTTCTTTGAATATTCGAACCCTCTTGGGATGGTTTTATCTTTCCCTTCCTCTCCATTGAGACCTGTCTACCGTCCTCAAACTGTCTGAGCAAGTTACTGCTCTCCTTGGGAGTATAATTTCGAATAGTTTTCTTATTAAGAATTATTGAAGGATTGGAGGGAAGATGAACCGCAGTGTTGTTTAGGGTTTTAGGAGTTGTAATACTTTCCGTCCGACGCTTCATCTCCGGGGTACCGTTAATGCTGTCGTGGGATAGAGAGGATTTACCAGATGATCGGTTGCTTTTACTGCTCCCTATACTTCTCCCACCCGAGAGACTTGAATCCTTGTCAAAACTACCCTCGGACATGTTGTGAACAAGAGTATCTGTATCCGATAGTTCCTCTCCCTTCCCTCTTCTGGTACTGTGCTCAGCAGGGGACTTGGATGAGGGTCTCGTGTCTGGGAAATACATGTTTGGGTTCTTCTGGAACTTATCCTTCAAGATCATTCCAAAGGATGATCTGTTTTTATCCTCCCTGGAGAGATGTAGCTCCTCTCCTAACCCACTATCCTTCATAGTTCCTACTGGAGGCAAGCTCTGTAGATTCTTTTCCTTCATATACCATTGCTTATCATTTTTGTCATTCTTACTCCGGGACTCAGTTCCTCCCTCCCTGAACACGTATCCAGGATTAAACCATCCTGCTCCGTTCTGAAACATACTGAACGGACGGAACTTCTTCTCCCGAGCATCTGTTGACTGGGATCGAAACTGCTTCTGTCTCTTCTTAAAGTCCTCATGCTGTAAACTGGAGAAGGACGGTTCTTTATAACTCTTCTGTCTCTTCACCTTGTTAATCTTCTCCGCATCCCTCTGTAGTGCGATTAGATCGTTAGTACTGAGAGGAAAGGCAGATTGCATCCCTGATCTTTGCATCTCGGGCAAAAATCTTCTAAAATCGTCCGGACCTAGGGGCAGAGTGGTTCGGGATGGAACATCAAAGTGTAGATGCCCCAGTAGCTCTGGATGGATTGGTATTTCTCCGGCTACTAGAGGATGGGACGGAGGAAACCCTCTCCGGAGTAGAAGATCTCTCTGTATATCTATATTCAGTTGATGTTGGAGAAGAACCTGTTCATCTATAAAGGGAAGGTCGGGACGAGCTACAGGGTTCCTCAGTATTTGTCCCTGAACAGTAAATTCAATTAACTTAGAACATAATATTGGATTAGACAAATCTCTGAACATGAACTTTAAACAAAGCTTAAATCTGAACAAGAACCTGAATATTAACTTGAAAATGACATGAGCATGGAGCTAAACCTGAACCTGAACCTGAGCCAGAACCTGAATCTGAACCTAAACCTACACCAGAATGAGAATCTAGACCAAACCAAACCCCAGAATCAGAACCTTATGTTTAACCAAACCCGGGAACAGACCTAAACCTGAACGTAGACATAAGCCTAATTCAAACCCAGAACCTGAACCTGAACCTTAACCTAAACTTGAATCTGATTCTAAACCCAGAGTCTAAATCTGAACAAACCTGAACCAGGGAGAGAATCAGGATCTAAACCAGAATCAGAACCTAATTTCTAATCTAAACATAAACCTGGACATAAACCGGAAACTGAATCTTAATCTAAATTTAGAATTTAAACCTGAACCATGGAAATAGAATCAGGATCTAAAACAGAACCAAAACCCAGAATCAGCACCTAATTTTCTTAAACTAAACCAGGATTAGAACCTAATTTCTAACCTAAACAGGCTGAGTCTGGACGTAGACTTAAATCCGAACCTAAATATAAATCCTGAATCTGATTCTGAACCCAGAGTCTAAACCTGTAACCAGAAAAAGAATCAGGATCTAAACCAGAACCTAAACCAGAACCCGAAAATTTAATCTAAACTTTACGTTTTACCCTCCTTAATGAACCTTAATTTCAACCTATATATCAAACATGAATATGAACATGAACATGAACATGAACATGAACATGAACATGAACATGAACATGAACATGAACAATAAGACCCTACCTGGTTCCTGAATTGAGGCGGAAGATCATCCCAAGGGGGGCCAGCCACAGATCGGCGATTCCGCCGAAAATCATCATTCATCCTCAAGTCCACCATGCTTCTTTGCCTCACGGGCGGTATTCCATTCGGAAACCTAGTATAGATAGATTTATATAATGATAGATTAATAGATAGATACAGGGTGAGTAAAAAAAGTGTGATTTGCGGCGCCTGGTGCAAAAATGTACCTTTTTTGTCCAATATATTCAATATTTTTAAACATTTGTAATTTTTTTGGTACTCTAATGCCCCCCCCCAAAAAAAAAAAATATCTGCGAACCTTTTTTCTCTCAAAATCAAAAGTTCAGAAAAACAAAAATGTGTAAATAAATTATTTCTAAGGTTTCGATTGAACAGCGTATATTTAATACTTTAGAATATACTAAAAAGAAAGGAACTAGAGAATTTAGATAACTTTTCTTTGAAAATTAGACCAGAACTAAAAATTGCGAATTTTCTTATTATAATTTTGCGAATTTTCTGTGATTCAGTGATTCTTTTTAAAATTTTAGATTTCGGTAGAAATAATTTATATAAACATTTTTGCTTTATGTGCTTATGTTTAACCATACTGTTATAAAGCTTGACATATATCAAAATTAAAATCGAAATTAGTCTTCATAACTTGATACAGTCGATCGCCTACTACCGTATGTAAATACAAAATTTATCTTTTGAACAAAATTGTCAAATGATGAAACAGGTTTTTGATGAAAAATAGATTTGTGAGTCTAAGCGAAGAAGGTTAAGTAAGAAATTGAATCTTTGCCACAAACTCAAATTTTTGCAACCTGATGGTCTAAACCTTTGAAATTTAGTCTAAAAGAATTTATAATTTAAAAATATCTAAAGTATACGACATTGGGTTGCAAAGATATAGGAATTAGGGAATCAGCGTTTAGGCAAAGACTCAATTTCTCTACCTCTGTCCCCTCCCCATTCGAGGCTTATTTTTAGTAAATAATATTGTTTTCGACATTATCTACACTTGACAAAGAACTGGGCACTTTCACTGTTCAGATATGACTGTCTCCTAATTAACCTATGTTACTGTATATGCCCTAGTTTCATATCTGTTTAAGCTAATTAGATGGAAAACATTCGATTTATGGAGTATGTATAACTAAGTCTACACAAAGAGATGTTTATTCTATGTTTGATCAATTCATGCAAATATTTGTCTAATTACAGTGAGAACCCGAAAGCTCTAGAATAGGAAGACCACTATAATTAGATTCAAGTTCTGACAATGATTAAGTGATTCGATTGGTTACTAATAACACTTTTTTCTTTGTAACAACATTGAATACACTTACTTATTGATTTAATGTCGTCTTCATTTTACACATTTTTCTGGTTCTTACAGTATTTACTCTAATTATTTTCAAATATTGCACTATGACAGACCAAATAATCAACGTTTGAAATATAAAAGTGCTTCACCAAAAGCCTGCAAAGATAATGAAATAGAAGATTAGAGTTTGGGACAAGTGTTCCTTTGAGGTTTAACTTTTCATACAAAAATCTCTATACGATATCTTATTGGTTTAACTTCTCCTAGACCCAACTAATATAAAATGTATACGCCCACAAAATATTTGAATAACTTCATGAAAGATTGACCCAACACGGAAGGAGAAATGTACAATTCCGAACATTACTTACATTATGTTGTAGGTCGTCATTTAAGCATCATCCTTTTTGGGTAACTCTGTGTACTTTGTAACTTTTTTAATTGTAAGAAGCAGGTTTTTTATTTATTGTCATAATTATGAATTAGATCTTTTCAACATGTTTTGCACTCTGAGCACGTAAGCTATTATAAAGAGAAACAAAAGTTCAATTTTGAAATATCCTTCCGTATTATATTGTCGTATGACATCTCATATTATAGAATAGTAAAACTAAGAATCTTTCAAAAATATAATCTAATAAGGATCTTCCAATATTTAGTTTTACACACTAATACTGTTACTTGGAATTTTTTTGCGTCAAATATATTTTTTTTTATAAGTTAGTTAGGTACGTAAAGAAAATGTAGAATGGAAAACGAAAATACTAAATACTATTCACCACTTCTGTTTACCAAACCTACGGATTCTTGGGAACAAATCATGTTCTGCTTAGATTTAAAATAGACAAAGAATTTTTCGGAACCAAATCCGCGAGAGAAAAAAAATGTGAAACTTTAGCAGTGGGATGAAAGATGAAGGAGTCTAGAGAGTCGAGGGGAGGGGGTTTAATAGGCGTCATTTTTTATCTTTCTATCCATCAAATTTCTAAAGGGTGGGGCTCTATGTACGTGAGGGCTGCAGGCCAGGGTATAGGTGAGGTAACTACGAAAGAATTTATAAAAGAAAAAATATTCAAAAATAAAACATCTATCAAAAAGCAGTTAAAAACATAAATATACATATATATATGTTTCGTCTATGATAAACTATTTGGCTAAATTCTTTGCAATTTTTCAATGAAACTTTTAATTTCGTGAAAAAATGTTTAAATGATCGATATAAAATTTTTCATTTTATACTTTTTAAAATTAAAAATAACCTATTATAATTACCTAGGGAGCATTTTCTCCAAGGTGGCCTGAGCCTCTTCAGGGGAGGGTGGGCCAAACTCTCTACGCCCCCTTCCTTCCCCCATCCTCTCTCCTCCTTCCCGACTCCTTTTCCCAGACCTGTCAACCTCGGAAGGTCGGGAAGGAGATCGTCCTCTGGATCTTGACCTCCGAGAGGAGGAATCCCTAGGACTACGTCTGCTCTCCGGCGTCCTAGGATCAAGATTTCGTCCTCGAGATTGGGACCGAGTTCGAGATTCATTATCGTCCCATCTCCGACCTCGGGATCTTGATCTTCTCTCCGGAAAACCTCGTCCCATTTCTATTGGACCCATGGATTTGGATCGACGGAAATCAGGTTTATCTTCTCTCCTCGACTCCGTTCTCTGAGCTTTCTCTGGTCTCTGAGCATCACTTCTCTGTCGACCCTGCCGGAGATTTCTCCGACCCTCCTCACTGTTGTGCATAATCTCGTAAGGGTTGCTCTGTAAACTTGCTACCGGAGAAATAACTGGTCCCTGGACGGAAGAATTGGATCTTGCTTTCCTCCTTTTTCCGTCCTGTTCTCCGGCCTTACTGGGGAACTTAGATAACTTCCCTTTCTTATCCTGAACCTTCATCTTTAGTTCCTGCATCATGGCAGCCTCTTTTCCGCTTAGATTTTTATCCTCATCCTTCACAAGGAACTTCCCTCTGCCCCTTGAATCCCTCCCTTGGGAATTAAATTCACCCTCATTTCTCCTCCGAGAGTTAAGTCTGCTCTCCTCCGAACCATTCTTTAAATGGATTCTATGTTTCTCCGGTTTAGGCGGAGGACTGATAGAGTCTCTGCTAGAGTTATGAACCTCTGCTCTGACACGTTCGCTTCTGCTCGTGCTTCGATCCTTGGAGTTGTAGAGGACAACCTCCTCATGCTGCTGCAGGAAGGCTTTTTTAGCATGAAGTGAAGCTCCGGACCTAGGATTATCATTATCCATGGTTTGACTTCTGGTCATCCTTTCTTTCTCCTGTCCAGGTTTCTTTTTCCTATCAACCGGTGGCGGATGTGTTCTAGTGTTTGGGGGGCTGGGAAGAGGATCAAAAAAGCGTCTTTTCTCACTTTTAAACTGTTTATCATCATTGTAAATTTCTTCTGTTAGTTCACTGAAAATATCATCGATTTGTTCATTGATTGAAAGTCGACTTCCGCGGAAATCGATGCGACTTCCGCGGATTTCTGGTCGAATTTTTTCCTCCTTTTCCTCCACGTCCGAGACACTCCGGAGGTCAGGTCTGGACCTCCTCCGACTGGCTGCCTCCGATTCAGCAGAGGACAAGAGGCCATCGTCGAATTCTCCGATAACCCGGTCCAGAACATCGAGGCTGTATTTTACATCATCACTGAAAAACAAAACAAAAGTATTGGTAGATTAAGAGGTTTTAATTGAATTGGCAGATTGAGACTTGAGAGGTTTTAATGGAATTGGAAGATTGAGAGGTTTCAATATAATTAGTAGATTGAGAGGTTTTAATGGAATTGGTAGATTGAGAGGATTGAATGGAAATGTCATTTTTATCGGAATTGATAGATTTACAAGAATTGGTAGACTTAAAGAATTGGCAGATTTAAGAGAATTTGTAGACTTAAAAGAATTGGTAGATTTTAAGCAATTGGTAGATTTAGAGGAGACATGGAGGTTTAAAAAATGTTGAAACTTGATATAAAATCCTTACAACCTTGATTATAATTCCTTAAACCCTAGAAAAATGTCGTAATTTTTCACATTAATAAATAATCTCCTACTAGTGCCTGGACCTGGAGAAGACCATGGGACGGATTAGATGATATCTCATCCTATATATCTACAGACTACAAGCTAAGATGTATTTGAGAAAATTAAAATCATCCAATTGGAGAACAGGGATTTATAAAAAAATGAAACGTGAAGATGAACTTAACAATTACTGCACCTCAAAATCTGATTTTCTAATCCTCATGTCATAAACCTGTCATATTCCAAGCCGATCATAAACCTGTCATATTCCAAGCCGATCATAAGCCTGTCATATTCCAAGCCGATCATAAACCTGTCATATTCCAAGCAGACCATAAATCTGTCATATTCCAAGCCGACCATAAATCTGTCATATTCCAAGCCGACCATAAATCTGTCATATTCCAAGCCGATCATAAACCTGTCATATTCCAAGCCGACCATAAACCTGTCATATTCCAAGCCGATGGGGTATCTTTAGCCCCCCCAATGCAACCTAAGATAGGGGATACCTTGAACCCTCAACCCCCTTCCCCACGCACCCAGCGTGTCCATATCTGTAATGGGGTGTTTAAGACTATATATTGCATATTATCAGCAAGGATGATATTGAGTACAGTGAGAGGGTTGAGTGGCATGAAAGGACAAGTTAGTCACACCTAAACGAGGGGAGGGAGGCCAAACACAACAATTTCGCGTTTGAGCCACAATTCCCGATTTTTCTCGTCCGATTTAAAATAGTTTTTTTTACATGAACCTTATGCACCCATACACAAAATAATAAAATATGTAGAATTAGATTGTTAACTTTTTAATTATATAGCAAACCCTATATATATAGGATATATATAGGATGAGGATTTCCAGGTGGTTCGGACGAGAAAATGAGGAGATTGTAGCTTGGAAGAGAAATTGTTGCGGCTGGCCTTCCTCCCCTCGACTAAACTAAACCTTGTAAGTTGTAACCATGTAACACGTTTCAATGGACTTTAGTTTAAACATTGTTGATGCATGGTAGTGAATTTATTTATTTATTCGATACAGAATATATATTGCAGTTGTGTACATTCAACAATAAGCAAATAATTTTAGACCTAAAACTATTCTTAAAGCTAGCATTGAGAATAATTTCGTTTTATTTGCAGCATGAGTGTGCAGAATGGCTCCCTGGATCAGACTAAGGAAAATAACATATTTATCTCACAATAATGTTATATATGACAGAAATTTCTATTTAATGTTAATTACGAAATAATAGCTTTTGAACAGTTTGAATGGGTCTTATTATTTTTAATGAAGATATACCCTGAAATCTAGCCTAGCGAATGCACAGGTGATATACCTGCGTGTTCTTAGTTTTTCAGCTTTTTTATTCCAAACAATGAGGCATGTGCAAGATCCAATGATAAATCATTTCAGTTGAAATAATTAATTGCAACCTATCCCACCATTCTTTCTTTTATCCTCTATCCCTCTCCTTCTACGGACCTCCAGTACCCAACTGCTTTACCCCTCAAAAGATTAAATACCCCCCCTCCCTCTATTCCCCCAAGATGCCCCTGAAATCAACCTACAGATTTGAGTCTACACTCTATATAAGGATATGCTGGCTGCTGGGTGTAAAAGTGCGATTAAAATGATGAATTAGTGTTTTCAAGAATTCCTTGACTGTGCACATCTTTAATTTCAGCCAATACTTAAATTCAATGTTAAACTCAAGTCTCATTATCTCTCATTCTTCCCTCCTCTATCCACTCTATCCTTCTTCATCCTTCCTTCCTTCAGCTCTACCTAACTCCTACCTCCTTTCCTTCCTACCTCATTTCTTTCTCCTTCCTACCTCCTTCCTAACTCCTACCAACCTCCTTCCTATACCTTCATATATTTGATTTAAAAAACAAAATATTTAATATAGATTTCTCCGAATGTGTGGTGTGTGTGTTGAGAGAGAGAAGCTAGATATAGTTGAACCATATGGTTCATTATCCCACCTACCATCCATCTTATCTATACCTAGATCTAGTATACAAAATCCTGTATCCATCCTATCCAAATCCTTAAATACAAGACTCATCCATCTGGCTATATATATTAAACAGGACTCCACCACCCACCTACACATATATATATTAAACAGGACTCCACCACCCACCTACACATATATATATTAAACAGGACTCCACCACCCACCTACACATATATATATTAAACAGAACTCCACCACCCACCTACACATATATATATTAAACAGGACTCCACCACCCACCAACACATAACTTCTCAAAACAGAGTATACTCATGAAAGAAACTGAACACTTGACAAAAATTTTCATTTTCTAACCCCTCTTTGCAACCTGCAGATACCTTAGACATTTGAATTTTCAAACTATGAATTCTGTAAGAATTCTGTAAGTTTAAAATATCAAAGGTTCACAACATGAGGTTACAAAGATATATATTTGGATAAAAAAATTAGAGTCTGTGTCGAATGTTCAAATCCTTTAGAATCTTTAATTTAAATACGCAATTTTTTTTGGAACTACCCGTTCTTATATAAATTTCCTAAAGCCAACCAAACGGCTGGACCGAATGGGCTGAATTTTTTTGAGGGAACCCTTATCCCGGGGGTAACATAGGATTCAACATTTTAAATTAAAATTTCTTTTGAATTTTTTTTTTTCAATTTAAAAAAAAAATTCATTCCACGGGCAACGCCGGGCACTTCAACTTTTAGTTCATATTACATAATGTTCATTGACTAATTCATTAATCCCTATAAGCCCACTAAAGCTGACTTCATCTCTAGTGATTTGAACGAAGCATGTGAGACAGCTGACGCCGATATACGCAGAGCTGATCTGGTCAATTCTGACGCATCTGGAACCCAGGATAGAGAAATCTGTCATGGAAATAATTATTTTCTCTATTTAGAATTTAATCTGTGTATAGTGTCCAGACGCTTGACTAATTATTACATAAGATGCATATTGCATAATCTATAGTTTAAATTTAAGAGAGAGAGAGAGAGAGAGAGAGAGAGAGAGACCCTGTCAGGAAGGTATTTTAATAATTATCAATTATATTTGCTTATCAAATCTCAAATTGATTAAATCATATTACTCTATCTCTATAGCGGCCATATTTTTGCCTCTCCCGACCGACATATTGGTGTCCTAAAGAATTTTAAGGAATATATAGACTAAAAACTATTTAAATTTGGTCTTTAGTTTTTTTTGAAGAACCTTTTTACTCTAATTATTAAATTCATCAAGGATCGAGGATTTTAGGATTAAAAACTATAAACTCAAGGTTTCTAAAAAGCTATCTTGAGCTTGAAACGTGCCGAAATTATATCTCGTTCCTCCCACTCCTATTAAAAATAGTCCTTTACGGGCTATACCTCTGCAAATTCTTTCTCCCACGTCTGCAAATCAAGATTTGCAAATTTCAGGGTTAAAAAGAGTTTGAATGGAACTTCAAGGGACTATATAGACGTTATTTCAAGTGTATATCCATCTAAACAGGGGCTGCATACCTGATTAACAACGGTATCCTTGAAACCTTTCCTTGTTCAATAATATGGAAGATTTTGCCATATTTCAGCTTGAAAAGTGCCAAAAAAAAGCGCAAACCACTTTTGTGGAGAAACTACAATTTAAAAAAATCTGACTATAAAGAGAAAAGAAAGGATAACTAATTCAAACTTGATGAGATAACGCTTTCAAAGGTACCGGTGTGCTGTGAATCCGATATGCTACTCTATAAATGGAGGGGTACTTGAAATCAAGTCTGTATGTCCTTATGATAATAAGTTCAAGTAAGAATACCGGGTGTGAAAAGTAGTTTCTCTCCGTCAAGCTAAATGTAAAATGTGGTTTGAGAATGTTCTAAAATATTCTTGCATTCTGCCCTTAAATGGTTAAGTTTCTAAATTCCACCTTCGTTTTCTTCAAGTTTCAACTAAATTTTCCTCTTTTATGTTTGGCGGAGGCGGGCCTCGCGACAAGTTATGCACAGGAAAAAAATTCATGTTTTCTTCTCAATATTTGAACCATGAGAAGTGACTAGAGTTAATGATTTGAATTGAATTCAGATTTGATTCAGTATCTTTAGATAGCAGGAGACTGGGAGTTACGCCCCCTCAGATTACAAATCAGGGGTGCTTTCAGAATCAGGGGAAGGTGAGTGGGGGGGGGGGTTGTGCGATGATGATTCATAAGATCTTTATGACTGTTGTCTCAAAAGATTAAATACCCCCCCTCCCTCTATTCCCCCAAGATGCCCCTGAAATCAACCTACAGATTTGAGTCTACACTCTATATAAGGATATGCTGGCTGCTGGGTGTAAAAGTGCGATTAAAATGATGAATTAGTGTTTTCAAGAATTCCTTGACTGTGCACATAGAGG